AATTTTGACTGATTTCTTTAGTAATTACATCAGATAAAAATAATAACTTGGCCGGGTGGGGTGGTTCATACCTGTAATCCCAGCACTTTGGGAGGCCAGCACAGGAGGATTGCTTGAGACCAAGAGTTTGAGACCAACCTAAGCAATATTGTGAAACCCTGTCTCTGCAAAACAAACAAACAAACAAACAAAACCAAAAACAACAAAAAAACCCCAAAAAACTAACCTGGTGTGGTGGTGTGCACCTGTAGTCCCAGCTACTCAGGCAGCTGAGGCAGGAGGATTACTTGAGCCCAGGTATTCCAGACATGTTTCATTTAAGATGAAGAATGTGAGAAAGAGGCCCCTGTCCTAAAAATCTGTTCTTTCAAACAAGAAAAAGCTGGTTTATTTATGAATTAGTAATTTATTGAACCCTACAGAGGGCTGAGGTCAAAGGGCATTTAACTTGTTTGAGATTTAAGGAAGGGCAGGCACCTTCAAGCAGAGACAGATAGTGAGCCCTGGCTGACCTGAAATAGAGGAAGACATGGCTTCCAAAGAAGCTATAAAAAGAATAATTCAGCTAATATCTATAAAGAATTGCTAAACGGAAAATGTGAGCTACTGTCAGACTATAGGACCCCTTGGTGCTTCAGACACAAGGACAGTTTGTACCCACTAGTGGGGTCCCAGGACCTCTTGAGAAAGACCGGGGGCAGGGCTGGAGAGGAGGCAGCCCTGCTTGTGGTGCAGGCCTGGAGGAGGGTCCATTTTTGTCGTGTCAACTCCGAGCATAGAACAATGGATTTGAAGCCAAGAAACAGTAGCTTGATAACTGTCACAGACTCATCTCATAAAAGGAACAGATGCTCATAGAACAGAAGGAAAAGAAAGGGGGCAAACTTTTTCTCTTCATCTTTCTTTTAAAAATAAAAACTACTGTTACTTCATCATGAAACAACAAGGCATAGTGTCATGTGTTGGCACAATAAACAGAAATATGATGGTAAAAGTAGTGCTTGTCAGATCTTCTCTATTCCCAATGGGGCATGAATTATGTACTTATTAGCCAAGCTAGTCAGTTTGCTTGAGAAAAACAGAGGAAAATATCAAACTGATAAAACCAAACATCCAGGCCAGGTGTGGTGGCTCATACCTGTAATCCTAGCACGTTGGGAAGCCGAAGCAAGAGAATTGCTTGAGATCAGAAGTTCTAGACCAGCCTGGGCAATGTAGTGAGAGACTGTCTACAAAAATTTAAAAAATTAGCCAGGCGTGGTAGCAACTGGGGAAGCTGAGAGAGGAGGATTGCTTGAGCCCAGGAATTTGGGGTTGCAGTGAGCTATGATCACACTACCTTCCTCCAGCCTGGGTGACAGAGCAAGACTCTGTCTCTTAGAAAAATAATAATGACTAACACTTTTTTATTGTGCTCACTAAGAGCCAGGCACTGTTCTTAGCGACAATGCGTATATCTTAACTAATTCAATCCTGGTTAAAAACCTCATGAGGTAGGTACTGTTTCTATTTTCATTTTATAGACAAGGAAACAAACGTAGAGAGTTTAAGTTGCTTGCTTGAAGTTATTAGCTGGTAAACTTAGCTTCAAATTTGGCAATTGGGCTTGGCATCCATGTTTTTTTATTTCTATTTTTTAATTTTTTTTTTGAGGCAGAGTCTTTCTCTGTTGCCTAGGCTAAAGTATCTTGGCATCAGCCTCGCTCACAGCAACCTCAAACTCCTGGGCTCAAGTGATCCCCTTGCCTCAGCCTCTTGAGTAGCTGGGACTGTAGGTATATGCCACCACACCTGCCTAATTTTTTCTATTTTTAGTAGAGACTGGGTCTCACTCTTGCTCAGGCTGGTCTTAAACTTCTGACTTCAAGTGATCCTCCCACCTCGGTCTCCCAGAGTGCTAGGATAACAGGCATGAGCGTCAGCCTCAGCGTCCATGTTTTCCTCTCCACTCTTGCATGCCTCAGTAGCTCAAGTCATAGCTCTGCAGGGTGTTTTTTAGTTGAAGTTTGCTTGCCAGATTCTGATTGTATGAGACACATGGGACTTTGGTGATGAGCATTTAACAAAGTCTAAGTAAAGCTGGTAAAGACAAACACACCATATAAACCCAAGCAGATTCCTGGGTCTTACCCCAGATATACAGAATTAGAATCAGAGGGTAGGAGGCTGAATAAAGACAGGAAATGGGAACATGGGGTGGGGGAAGACATCCAGTACAATACATTTCTAAAGAACTACGGAGATTCCAAAGCATAGCTATAGCTGGGAATCACTGATAGAGGGTTTGCATCTTTTTTAAAGCCTTAATTAGCTTCTTAAATAAAGATGGGTTGGCAGATGTGTCTGAACTTGGAGAATTTTGTGGCTGTACAGAGATTCCAAGAGAATCATAGAGCCTTGTCTTTCATTTTTTAATGGTAGAATTTTGCCTTTATTGTGGTTCCTTTTGATTCTCCTGTTACAAATCAGAACTATTGTTGTCATGGGGTTTGCAAATATTAACAACCAAGAAGAATAGCTACTTCCTACCACCTCCCTTGTCCACATCTGAGAATATGATTATCACCACAGCTGTTGAAGCATACGAGTTTTATCATTTATTTAGCACACTTGTTACCAGTGCTATAGTTAATTACTCCCTGTAGCATGTGCTTAGTTAATCTATGTTTTTATAGATTACTATTTAAATCTTGATTACTCATGTTTATCTTAGCTTATTAGGTAAAAGTCTAGGACTTAGAGGAGAATTCCTGTTTTTAGAAGACAGAAATTGCAGGAATGGCCATCGGAAAATCTTGCCCTAACACCTTGTGTGTAACTGTTTGGTCACTGTAGGGAGAATAAACAGTGGTGGTTTTCACTTTGAGAGGATTTCTGTAGAAATACCTACATTTAGAATTGTTTTATAGGATGGAAGTGAAATGAAAATGAGGAACTACATGGTGTCTTTTTGTGCAGTAATGAGCAGTAAATGCCCACAATGTCACTGATCTTTCTTCTGGTCCTACAGGTGTCAGGCTCTCATGGGTGCACAAGTTTAGCCAAGCAGGCAGGCTGTACCCAGGCCCTGAACTCTTCATTCATATGTATTAACAAGGGTCTGCCAGTGGTTAGGAAGTACTTTCGAACTGTAAAAAGAACTTATAAAAGAGAAAATAAGATTCTAGCAGAGAAAATATTTCTCATTGACTAGGAAGATAATTAATCCTTCCAAAGATAGATCAAAGGTTATGCTATCATTTATTTTAATTTAGCCCTTTGGTTTATGGAAGAGAAAAAAAGTACATTAATCATCTTTATTTTGGATAAGATAGCATAAATGGCTCACTTATTTAGAAGTGAATACTTGGGGTTGTGTCAAGAACTGAGCTTATTAATCTGATATTAATTTTTTTCCCTACCAATTGCTATTAATTGTTCTGTGAATTAATGTCTTGTTAGCTCAATGACATTTAGGATCTCAATCATGATTAAGTTGAGAAATTATTTGAAAATGCCAACAGAGCCAATATGCTGCAGAAAATCTGTCTTGAACTTTGAAGTTCTAGGCCAAATTAATGGGGCGGAACCCAGTCTTTGTATTTATAGATGGATAGAGGAATCTATCATAGCGGCTGCTTTTCATCTGGATTTAAAATCCTTCTAGCATCCATCCTCGCTGGGTACTGCCTCTGGCTTTCAAGCTGCTTATGAGAGTTAAGGGCTAATGTATCATCCAAAACTCATATATCAGATAAGTTGTTTATATAAAGTTGTTGAAAAATTCTTGAGAGCATTTAGTTTAAATCACCTAAAAGTAATTTCAAATGACAATCACAAAATTATCGCTCATAGCTAGACACTGTTGTAATTTAGCAAACATTTCTTAATCCTTTACAGAAATTGAAATTTCAGAAGGGTTATGTATCTTGACATTTTGTTAAACTTAAAGATGAATGAATAGCAATAAGGGTCAGAATAGAGTAATCTTATCAGAAGCATTTATAAATTCTAAGCATTAACACAGAGTTGTCATTGTCATTTTAAAGAAAAACTAACTCAAAGGACTCCTTTCATTTTTATATACACCTTCCAGGAAATGTGACTAGAATGGTCAAGGATTTAAAGGATGAAAGTGAAATTAAAATGAGGAATCAATAATGTTAGTGTTCAGCTTAGTTGAACATGCATTAGAAATAAAATGAGCTTTTATCAGACTGCATAAAATTGTATGAAGTTCTCAGTGGAAAAAGTTGAAAAGTTCATGTGTCTCCTTTCTTTAATAGTTTTGAAAAGCTTAAAGTTTCAAATAAAAAATGGAAATTGGCTCACAATAAAATTAGTGTTGCTTTTAGTGTATCTTCATTATAAATTGTACTTTTAAAAGTCTGTTTAATCTTTTAAGATGTGTTTAGAACAAGAATGAGAGAGAAATTTTTTTTTTTATTTCAGAAACTTTATAAATTTCTGCTGTCTGTGTCTTTTTGAAGTTGCAATAGTAATTTAAAGGCAAACATCTCTATCCTGTGTTTCTTTTTTCACTCTTTTTGAGGTTTAAGATCATTTGCCAGATGTTGCTTTAAAATGTTCTGTAGACCCTAAAATTTACTGTGTGTTTAAGGGATTGTGCAGAATTCCAAGTTAATATATACTTGTACCTCGAGAACACAAGGTCTAAGTGAAGGGGATAAGACATGTACAAAAATAACCATAATAACAATTAGAATGTGGTTTAGATGCTAAAGATTACTAATTGTCACTTGATATGCATGTATCAGATATTATTTCTACTGATCTGTAATCACAATAAACAGCATTAGAGCATGTAATGAGAGGTGGATACAGGATGCTGTAGGCCCTGCCTATGGTGGCCTGTACCTTCAGCTGCAGAATGGGGAGAATGCTTTGACTTTTAGATTTAAACAAAAACCTTAGTAGGATGTTATTTTATTTACATCGTAATTAAGCATTTGAATTTTGGCAGCATATCCAGTTGACAATGACGTTTGTGTTTTTACAAGGGCAATCGGGGAGAAATAGGACCCGCAGGAGCCCCAGGCCTACCAGGTAAACTGGTAAGTCATGTTTCATTGATTTGCTTTCTACAAAACACAAGACGTTTTTTTTAAAAATAAGCGAGAGGAGAAAAACAATTTACGGTTTAATCAGCCGTAGTTGATTTCTACTTGTTATGTGAATGTGTGAAACTGTAAACGTGGAATTTCGAATTATGTCTAGGATACCCGCAGAGGCTATTTTAATCCGTGTGGTTTGTAGCATATATTCTAAAACTAGGAGAGACACAAAGTGCTACATTTGGGCTCTGGTTGTTCTTGGAATTGCAGAGAACTGAGAGTGCATGCTGCCTTCTGCAGTGCTTGTTTACACAGCGAGAAACAGCAGGCCACTGTGGGGCTTGGCTGAAAGAGCCCACTATTGCAAAGTAGCAAACGGAATTGAGGGCCTCAGAGGTGGGTGGAGGCCAGGAGGGGGCCGGCCCCTCTTCCTCTGAGAATATGGGAGAGACGCCACTTGAGGAGCAGAGCTAAACCAAACACAGCACGTTTATTTTAGACACATGAGTCAACACAGCCCAGGTTGTGTCTGGTCACTGTGCTTTCAGTGTGGCAATGACAGTGACTCCGGGGACCTTGTTTTTGTTTTTCAGGGTCCTGTTGGGAGCCCTGGCCTCCCAGGCTTGCCTGGGCCCCCTGGACTTCCAGGAATGAAAGGTGACAGGGTAAGACATCCAGCACTCCGGAAAGTTCCTTATTTGGAAGGGTGATTTCAACCACGTTGAGAAACCGAGTATGCTTTTGGCCCGATGGAGAACTTTTCTAGAATGTATCATTCATAGCTGTCAAGAAAGGTATTTTAAATTGCTGAGAGTTGAGACTAAGAAGCAAAAAATCTATTCATATAATAATTTATCAGAAGCAAAAAACCTGAAAAGTAAAAATTTCAGTTGTAATCACGTTTTCTGTTTAGTTCTAAATTTATATCCCTACTAGTCAAATTTTACATGTATGTGATCAAAGATGCCCCAAGTTACCAAAGACTCTGGGACAATTGTCAGTTTCTCCACATTTTCTGATTGTTGCTGGGTGGTGAGGAGTGAGAGAATTTCTCTCCCATCTCATTATGTAGACTTGTGCTTATCCACCAGCCCAATAAGGGGAGTTTGGTGCATTTAAAATTATACAAACAGCTCAAAATACTGAAAAAGTGTTATACTTTATTCATTACAGGGTGTAGTTGGTGAACCTGGTCCAAAGGGTGAACAGGTAAGTCCTGCTATTTGATTAGTACGAAATGCAGTGTTTGATACGCACCACTTCACAGGCAGGGGGGACTGGCTCGTTCATGGGTGCCATTAAAACCATGGAGCCCAGCAGTTTTTCCCAGTGTTTTTCATGGTGAGTGACACCAAGAATTGAGATTGGTCTGTAGCCTTATCTACTGTTTTAATAAGCTGGAGCTAATGATGGCTCTGCTTCCAGGACTCTACACTGTCCTTCCTTTGAAGAAAGTGGCCCTGTCTCTCTGGTTAACCAAATTGGTTGCCTCGTGTCTGATGGAGCCTTCGGAACCCACATCACAATGTTTTAAGTTTTTCTTGACCAAGACCTCAGCAAATAAACTGTACATGTGAATTAGACTCAGTCCTTTTGCTGGGTTCCTTTTTCTACTGTAAGAGCTCTCTTTCAATGGTAACCTCATTATAAACTTGCCAGTTATGTCATTAATCCTTTCATTTCAGCTGAAAGTCAACCTCACCTTCTGGCTTTTCTCTAGGCCATTTTCTGATTTGGACTGGCCACTGACAGCTAGATCGGAAAGCCACTGAGAGCATTTTTGTATTTCTTCATGATCCTGGGGAACACTGTGGGCAGTGGTTGAATGGTTCAAATTGAACCATGGGACAAAGAATTAAAAGAAAATGTGACCTTTGATTTTGAACTTTTAGGGACCCTCTGGTGAAGAAGGTGAAGCAGGAAGAAGGGGTGAACTTGTAAGATTTTTTTTTTCTGGTTAATGATGGAGATGTACTGTTTTTATACCTGTATTAGAAACATATATTTTTGTTTTTTTCTGACACTGTTATCTTCCCTGGCTTCTTTAAAGGCTGAGCTGTTTCTTCTATAAACTAACAAAAAACTTCTAAGATTGCAGCCATGATCAAATAAAGCAGAGAGGAAACACCCTGAAAATAACAGACCTACCTTTAAGTTTTTGGAGAACAAAAGTGTTCCCTCATAGATGGTGAATCCTCTTGTGGCTTTATATTTAGACACTTAAGATAATTTTTATATATTTAGAAACGATAGGAAGTCTATGAATAGTACCTATCATGAAAACAAAACTGAACTTAGAAATCTGTGGCTCAACAATCTGATGATGTTCTCTCCAGTCTACAAACCTCCAAAGAATTGACCTTCATCTCTATAAGATGCCACTGCTAAATTTCCAGGAAATCAATAAAAATGAGAATAAGGTTATCATTACTGCTAGAACTGCTTGGTTTGCTGACTCTCCATTATTGTTTTGATACAAACTAACATGACCTATTGTGGAAACTTATGCTTTGGTCCTATGGGGTCAAGGTAATAGATTTCTCATAAAATAGTTTTTGAGAACATTTAGTGCAGGAAAAAATTATAGTAATGTTGTTTGATTCAGATTTTTAGGATTCAGAGTTAATATAAATTTAACATCTAAATTAGGCCAAAGCTTCCCAACTATTAAGTAACTTCATAAGATTATTCTATTTTCTTTTCTTTTGAACTTATTCATTTTATGGGCTAAGAGGATGTTTTAAATATTAATAATTCTGTTTTGTAGTGGAGTTTATTTGATGTTCTAATGCTTGTGCTGAATTTATATTTAGAATTAGTGGTGGGAGATTTTCAAGGTTTTTTTTAAAGCATAAAAGCATGCATATTTGGCTTGATAGACTTTTTGGGGTAAATTTAACATATTGTTTAAGTTACAAAAATGAACCCATCAGGTTTAAATGTCTTTTGTGTTTTATAACAGAATACTATTTTAATATCTTTTGACTTATACATTTTAATTCTCAAGGCTTAGCATAGATCTGGATGGAACCTTGGAGAGCTCTGATTGAACCCTGTTATTTAACAGATAAGTTAGCCAAAGGCTGGGAGGTTACATAGCTTACAGAGGGCCACAGGGCTAAGTAGCAGAGCTGGGACTAGAATCCACATTCTGAGTCTAATATTGTCCTGCAGTGCCAGGGTTCATCTTTTCATATTTTAGCAGCACAATAACTTTTTAACGTTTTTAGGAAACTATCAGATGTAAAAACGTTATTCTAATATAATTTTGTTTTATTGATTTAGGGAGATATAGGATTACCTGGCCCAAAGGGATCTGTAAGTATAATGAACAGTAATAGTATAAAAAATTAAAAATACCAATAAAGCTGTATAAAATGTAGTGTCCTGCTTTATGAAATCATTCTATATAATTCAATTCTTAAAGGACTTACTGCCACGGAAATAAATGTCTAAATTTATTCTTTAGGTAATAGATTAATTCAATAGAAAAAAAACTTACCATGGTGTTAAATGGATCTACCTTTTGAACTAACCACTCTAACGGAAGTGTTTTTTCATATCATAAATGGCTCAATGAATCTTACATGGTAATAATACTCTAATTTCCTCCCCAAATGGGTCATTTTTAAAGAAGTGACTTGTGCTTTGTGGTGATGAGAGTATAATTGAATTTCGTTGGCAGTTATACCATTGCAAAATATTTCAGTGATTTTCTTAATCTCCTGTGTGTTCTAGTTGGGGTAGTGAGATAGAGTAATAATGCATGAGAAAATATAACAGCATTATTAGAACTAGAAAATAATAGTCTTGTTCAATTTTTGTCATTTTACTAAAGCTAAACTGATGCTCTTGGAGATGAGATATATTCAGAATTACAGAACCAGTAAGTAGGAAACCTGAGATGACTTGTTAATTTGAAAGGAATGCACATCTAACAAAATCAGAAACTTAAGAAGTGTAAGGAGAAAAGATGAAACTCAGACCCCAATCTCAATTGCCACTACTACCGGCTCCCAGTTAATTTCCAAGTCCTTTCTATTTCTGGAATCTCCCCTACTCCTTTCTGTCCCTGTTCAACATATTTTTATGGGAGCCAATGTAACCTAGATTTAAAAAATAAAATCCACTGTGTATACCTCCTCTGCTTAAAACTCTTCAAGAATATGATTTTATAGAATAAAGTCAGATTCTTAGGAAGGTATTCAAAGCCTTCAATGAAGTATCCTTTGGTTCACCAACCTCATCACCTACATATCTGAAACTTCATCCATCTGCATGTCTTTTTACATGCCATGCTATTGAACACCTTGTTCCATTTGCCTAGCCTGGAATACTCTTTCTCCTTCCTTGGAATAGCTACCTCCTGCTTAAGCATTTAGAACTATTCCCAGCCCACTTTCTCTAGGAGGAGCCAGCCAGACTTGGTTTCAGTGCCCAGCCTTGGGCTCTTTGTATACTAGAAGGTGGATATTGATATGTTTTATTAATTTCTCTGCCTCTAAACATCATGTCTCAAGTAACATTTTATGCCTGAGAATCTTTGCCAGAAATGATTTAGAATTGAAGGGAAAAAAAAGAGTGAAAAAAAAAGAGTAAACCATGATAGAGTTTAGTAATAGAAATCCTACTTCACTATCTAGAAATACTCAGTTTAATTCAAGCTATAAAACAAGAGAAGTGAATGAACCATGCAGTGGTTGGCATAAGTTAATTTCATTCAAATTTGGATATAGTATTAGGAATTAGGCTTTGATTCATCACCTCCTTCCCTACTATGTCTTACCTGACATTGCCCAGGTAACAGTGATGAAATTGAAGTACACTGTCTCAGAATCGGGGACAATAGTTACTCACACAAAGACTTTCACTTTCCTCATTGATTTCAGCAAGACCAACTTGAGTAGTAGATGTATGTGACCTGATTTCTACTTCAATATACCACTCCTCAATTGAGGAATTCTTTCCTAAAACCTAAGGCCCCTTGTGATGTTCTGGCCATATTGTCTCTTAATCTCTTCATCAAGAAGTTCTTGTTCCTTATTGTAGCAATATTTCAGCCATTGCCAGTAGTATAGTACTTTCTGATTTGGTCTCCTTTATTTTCTGCCAGTTCTTTAGTGCATTTCTGAATTCATTTTGCCTTTTCTTCTGCGTTGTTTTAGAAGTTGTTATAGTTTTGCACCCTAGGTTACCTGATAATTTTGCAGCCTCCCATCATTGTATCTTTAACTTTCCTTGTTGACACCATCTTTCAGGATGTCTTTTAAGCCATAATTTCTTCATAGAAGCAATTTTGGCAAGTCGACTTAGATGAATATCAACTTTTTTTGCATAAAGAGAGATTGGAAAAAGCATATTTGCTGAGCTTTATTTGAATGTGTCTAGTGAAAGTATTGCTTTATCACCTTCTGTTTAAAGCATTTGAATGTTTGAAAGAGTTAGCTTTTCTAGATAAATGTTGCACATGAAAAAGCAGGATTAAATTGCTTTATAAACATTCATATCTTGAACACTAGCATTCCATTGGTGCCTCCTGTCTTTTTATCTTCTCATTCTTATTCCGAACAATAGTACCTTGGAGTTACTCTACCACAAATTCTACCAGAGGAATTCAACAATTTTTTTTTTAGTTTAACAAAAAGTGAATTAATTTAGTCTCTTTTAAAAGCAGTTATTGTAGATGAAGACTTTTAAATGCTTTTAGTGGTCTGCTTTCAGGGAAAAAAAAGTCTAATTTCTATTTGCTTTTGAGCTAAGTAAGGAAGCAAGTGGTTTATTTTTAACTTTAATATTTATATTTTTAACTTAATACTTAGAGAAATTGTGAACTTCTTCTAACTAAAGATTTTAAATGCAGCATTAAAATGTGGAATTTTAAATGCATTGATGTTTTTTATGTTACTATTTTGTAATTACTGGGTACAACGAGTATCTTCACATTTTCCAAAAAATGTTATAAAGGCTAAATAACTTATCTTCGTGGAAATATCTTTATTTTATGCTTGCTGCATTGGTGATGTGCAAAGTAACACATCTTATAGGAACTGAGTGGCCTTTGTGTGACCAGAAAATGTTAACAAGACCTGTCAAAAGCTAACTTGCTCTTAAGGAAGTAGATTACATTATGAAGAATGTGGTTTTAAAAAATGTTTTATCCCAGTGAATATTTTGCAATAACAACAGTACCAGAAAGAAGCATTTTTTTTTTTTTTTAAAGTTTACTTGAACTAGAATTCTAAGAGACTGGCGAGTTGTTCTGTGGCATTATGTGTCTTCGCCTTGTGGTGAAGGTAAAGGATTTGTGGCCTCTGAAGGAACACATGTTAGGACATAGATAGAATGTAGGCAACCCAAAATTTCGCATATTTGTATTGATATGAAGCAGGTACATTATTCATGCTCAGCTCTGGTTTTATAGTGTGCTATTTTGTTCCAGGTGGGTAATCCTGGGGAACCTGGCTTGAGAGGACCTGAAGGAATTCGGGGGCTTCCTGGAGTGGAAGGACCAAGAGGACCGCCTGGACCCCGAGGAGTGCAGGGAGAACAAGGTGCCACCGGCCTGCCTGGTGTCGAGGGCCCTCCGGTGAGTGGGGGCAGTCCCCGAGGTTTCTGTCTGGAGACTCCATCCCCCAGCAGCGGGGCCACACTATGGCATCAGCTCCTCAGCCACAGGTTCTTTTGTTGTAAATCCAGCCACCTGCAAGACTTCTTGCCAGGTCCCTCAGTTTACAGCTTAACAATGTTCTCTTTATGGTTCCACGCATAAACTGCCTTTTTTCTTTTCTCTCCCAGGGTAGAGCACCAACAGATCAGCACATTAAGCAGGTTTGCATAAGAGTCATGCAAGGTAAATAAATCACAATGGTTTGACTTTTTCCGCCATAAGCTCTTGCTTCTTAAGATTTTATTCTTTACTTCTGTAGTCACTTAAGCCAAAAAAAAAAAAAAAAAAAAAAAAAAGATTTTATTCTTGTAGGTATGTAAGGCTCACTGATAGTGACTTTTGGTATGCTGTAAAGATGGGAGATTTTAATGCCAATTCTGTTTAATTTAGGTGTTGCCCTCCATAATAGCTTGTAGCCTCGAAGTAAAATATAATTTTTATGCATTAGCCGCCTTCTTTCTTTTTTTGTGCCAGGGGGCTAATTTACAAGAAATTATACACACACACACACACACACTTTTCTTTTCCTTTGGAACACAAAATCTTAGGTGTCTCTCCTCTCCTCAAGATCTTTTTTTTTTTTTTTTTTTTTTTTGCATTTTAGCATATTATGCGGGTACAAGTGTTAAGGTTACATATTCTCCTTAAGATCTTACCTCTTAGTGTGTACCTTGCACTGTTCCAGGCTCTCTCTAGAGCTGTGAGAAGCAAATGACAAATTTCATGACCATGAGAAACATAAGGACATCATTTCCATTCATGTACCACATATTTAGAAAGTCAATAACTAGCATTTTACCAAATTGATGATATACTTTCACATTTATTAACCTTTATTTAAATTCATCTGTAGCTATAGCAATTATTTGTTTTGGGGACTGATGTGGTTACGTTAGCTGTTTCAGAATTGGTCTAGTGATAAAACCACACAGAAAATGAAGATGTCCAAAAATATCCTGAAACTGAAGATACGCTATTCCTTGGAGCCTTCTAACAGATATTAATAATTATATTATTCTGGGTAACCAACTCTGTCATGAAGAGATACTCTCCTTTTTTCATGTTCTCTAGACCAGCAGTCTCCTACCTTTTTGGCACCGGGAACCTGTTTCATGGAAGACAATTTTTCCACAGGCCAGCGGGGCATTGGGGGGATTTGGATGATTCAAGCGCACTAGCTTTATTGTGCAGTCAAACCTCTCTGCTAATGATGATCTGTATTTGCAGCTGCTCCCCAGCGCTAGCATCACCGCCTCAGCTCCACTATGGATCATCAGGCATTAGATCCCTATGAGGAGCACTGCAACCCAGATCCCTCGCATGCACAGTGTACAGTAGGGTTTGTGCTCCTATGAGAACCCAATGCCTCCACTGATCTGACAGGAGGTGGAACTTATGCGGTGATGTGAAGGATGGGGAGTGGCTGCAAATAGAGATGAGGCTTTGCTGGCTGCTCACCTTCTGCTGTGTAGCCTGTTCCTAACAGGCCATGGACTGTAGGGGTTGTGAGGGTGGGGCGGGGTGTGTGTGGAGGAACCAAGCTCTAGACAGTCTATTTTGTTTAGTAGACTTGTGGAGAAGTCCAGAAGTTTGGTTTTCCAGAACCAAATGGGAATGAAATTATCATTTATATTTGAAATAGAAGTCTCTTCATTATATATACTTTATCTTGGAAGTCTATTTCAGCTTTAAACATTACATATCTAGGAAATTATGATTTTATGCTAACACTTAAGGCAAATTTAGAAGACTCACATATAACCAATTTAAAAATATTGGTTAGAAATTTTTTCCAATTCATATTCTCTTCTATACTCTAAATTTTAAAAAATATTACCCTAGTCTCTTTTCCTTAGAGTATTTTCTTTTACTCCACATCGTTCGTGGATGATTCTGAATCTAATGGTTCCTAAAAAAGCCCACATAGTTATTAATTTTTAAGACTGACTGTGACCATTCCCAAGAAACAGGTTATTTTTAATGTTGTCTATTCTAAGCATGAAAAAAACTTCTGAGAGCGAGGGTTTATAAAAAGCCGTGAATACTAAGGATATTTCAGGTTATATAATATCTTCAAGCTAAAAGTGAGGCTAGGTCTCAAGTGGTGTCTGAATACTGATTTTGGACAATGTCCTTGGCTTTTAAAAAGCTTTTGGAAATCCATGTGCACCTATGTTAGGACACTCATTTTTCTTCCCATCCTGGGTTTTCAGTTACCCAGCCAGGATTTAGGAGAATCCCGAACATCATCCTTCCAGAATGTCTCCCACCCCAAAGGCTGCAGTTTAATTTTTTTTTTTTTTAATCTTCTATTCTTTGTCTTAAAACAGCAGGACCAAATATAACCAGGGAGAGCTGAATAAAAAAGCACTAGTAAAGCTTCCTGGCAGAAAGCCCAGGGAAAAATTATCTAACTTTATTCATTTCTTACCATCACTTTTGAAGCTCTGGTGACACATTTAGAAAAAAGGCATTTGGAATACCTCTCTTTTCATTTGAATCACTTTCATGTTTCTGACATTTCTGGATTTTGTTTGTTATCTTTTAGAGCATTTTGCTGAGATGGCTGCTAGTCTCAAGCGTCCTGACTCTGGTGTCTCTGGCCTCCCTGGGCGGCCCGGTCCCCCTGGGCCCCCCGGCCCCCCTGGAGAGAATGGCTTCCCAGGTCAGATGGGAATTCGTGGGCTTCCAGGCATGAAAGGTCCCCCTGGAGCTCTTGGTTTGAGAGGACCAAAAGGTAAGGCCATGTTGCCCGGGTAGACCCAAAAAACACACACTGCCCTTCTTCAGGTATATAATCTATATCTAAGTTCCAGGAATTCATATCTTACCAATGCCTGACTATCCAATAAGATGAGAAGATGTATTACTGTCTTTTACAATAGTGATGGTAAGGATTTGAAAACTGTTGTATGATGTTCTCTCCACTCTGCTGTACCACAACAGTAGCCAAATACTAGAAGTAAGATCCCCTGACTTTCACTGCTGATCTTTCTCAATTATACTCTGCCTCAGTCATGGTTCAAAATAAACTTTACAGGCTCTGGTAAAGGATCATTCAGACTTTTTTTCTTTCTTTTTTTGAGACCCTAAAGTCATTGTAGAGCTCTTCTAAGTTAGTAACCATCCTTAGAGTGTTTGTATTTGTTATTTAAACTGACAATATTTTTTAGCAGAACATAAGAAAAATGACATCGTGAATTGAAGCTGCCTCCTCCTTCTTTTAAAAAGTAACATTGTATATTAAATTTTGATTTTTTTCAGCTCTGAAGTACAATCTGATTTTATTCCTTCTTTCATATGTGACAGTTTGTTTCTCTCATTTTTATTTAAAGAAAGTTAGATGCTCGTGTCCTGTATTTTGCAGAGAAACAGAGTTGGGCGGGTGTCAGGTATCAGCAGCAGTGATGCAAGGGCTGGTTGCCCCAGGTGGGGTTTGCCAGCTGAGGGGAGTAAGTTTATCACCTTGGAGTGTGTGTGCCCTGGATAATTTACAGAGAGGACTACAGAAAGTGAGGAGTTTTAGTATCATGATGACTGACTGACAGCTGTTTGAGGAACTTCAGAAAGTCACGACATAAAACACAAGAGAGGGACTTATTTTTTTTAAATAATGTGCTCCAATCAGGGATAAATATTATGGTATGAATGGTCAGAAGGCAAGCAAGCTGTCTTTTTGGATCTGTAAATGAATTGCTGATGCAGTTGGCTAACTACATCCTCAGCTGGAATAATTTATTTAATTACATTTTTTTCTTTTTGGCATGTGCAGGCTGCATGTTCAAAAATGAGCTCTAATTGGGGCCTCTTGTAAGGCTGGCACAATTTCAAAGCTTTCAGAGTGGACACTATCAGATAGAGAGCAAGCAGAGGAGAATTCCTCTTAAAGAGAACTGAGCATTTTCTCCAAAAGAGTCACATACCTATTCGTTTTCATCCTGCTTTTAGCTACTAGTTTGGGGACTCATGCCTTAGGTGCTCTCTCTATGGTTAGTCCCAGTTCACACTGTAAAACCATTCATTTCTAAGAAACTCTACTGCGTGGGTGGAATGTTGGCTTATTTGGCTCTGTTGTGCCAGAGCGCATGGATGATGATGCCTCCCTCACCTTTCCTGAGTTTATTCTAGAGCAGCGGTGTGGAACAGTGGCCTCTGGAACATCAGCATAGCAGGGACCTAGTTAGGAGTGCTGATTTCTCTGGCCCGCCCCAAAGCCACTGAATCAGAAACTCTAGGGGCAGAGCCCAGCAATCTGGTTTAACAAGCCCTCCAGGTGATTCTGAAAGGCACAAGTGGGAAATAATCGTCCATTTTTCTACTGAAAGGGAACACCTTGTAGGGGCTACAGACATCACAGCCCTATTTTCTTTGCCTAACAGGAAGTCTCTGTATTTGGGGCAGAGCTTAACTTTGAGCTAGGAACAGAACTCTCCTTTAAAAAGTAAAAATGGCTACGTCATGCGCTAAGCTCGAGAATCTGTCTAAAGCTGCCTGTGTCAGCCCTCCCTGCATTTTGGGAGTCACCTGAGGGGCCTTAAAAACTACCGATGTCCGGGTCCCATTCCCAGAAATTCTGATTTAATTGGTCTGGTATTGGGATTAATGTGCAGCCAGGACTGACAACCACTGTAAATGTGAATTTTTTGGGAAGCTTCAGCAGCACTGAATTGTGGCTAGGTTGGGCTGGACTGGCTCTAGCAGACAAACCTCATTTTGAAAGGAAGAAAAATATATTTCTATATTTGGAACTTGGAAAATGTACTAAGCATGATGTTCATTCATCAAGCATAGCTTGGTTAATGCTGTCATACATTCGGAAATACACGATTCTAAGTGACTAGACTTGATTTTTCTTGTTCTACTACATTCATGAACAGTAGTATTTAATAGGAAACATATAGTTGTCTACTCTCCAAATGTTTATAGGTCATATTTTCCCTGAGAATAAACACTCCGCCATTTTGAAACTTCACATTTCAGCCAATTAGAGATGTATTTCAGTCTTGCGTGTTGCCTTTCCCCCCCATGCCTAGTAAAGAAGGGATGGTAGGAATCCTGCTCTTCTATTCAGTCACTTTGAGAGTTTTTTTCTAGAGAAACTGCTACATAAATAACTATAAGTTTTATTATTAATGCTTGTAATAGTTCAGACTATATCTTAATCAATTTTTATTTTTGTCTAAAAAGAACTCTGAAGAACACATTACAACATTTTCATTAGGAGTTTATGGTAGAACTATGCCTAAAATTAAACCTAGGCTATATCTGTAGTTTTTCTTTGTTTTTTACTGACATGTCTTATAAAATATTACACAAACATGTTAGGGCCATGGCATGTACATTTTATGTGTACACTCAATCAGAAACATGCTAGCAGCCCTTGTATTCACTTTGCTTAGTATTACATTAGTCTTTTGTTTCATAAATATTATTTTTAAGTGTTCATAGTAGGGATTAATTTTAAGTCCCTTTGAGTAAGGCTGTATATATGTTAGTGTGAATCAAACAGACATGGCACTATGTAAATGAACGTTTGAGATATATATGTCACAATTGTGTTTAACACCTTTTCCAGTGTTAATCTACTGACATGAGGATAAAGCATCAGTTATAGCTTGTGAATAAATGAAATAAATAGCAACTATAGATTAATGAGGATTTCCATTCTGTTCGTAAGGAGCTGTTTTTCTGCTCAAACTGCATATTTTCCTTCCTACCTTATCTAAAGCTTATTTTACAAGCTCTTTTATGTGTATTTTTTGACTGTGTAGGCTAACAAAGCTTGACCTTTAGTTCCCTGGGCTGGTTTTTGTGCATCTTGAAAGAAGATATGACCAGGGTTTGAAGAAGTAGATTAACCCTGCAACATTCACAGTTTGCTGTGGAGCAGCAATTTGCACAGTATACTGTCTTGGAGCTCATCTTAAATTTGCTTTTCTGTGACTGGTAACCAAAAAACAGCATTGCAGCTAACACAGCAGCCTTACTCCTTGCAAGCAACGTTTAAAGTTGGTATGGCTTCATGCTAGAATGTGTAAATAAGTTTAACTTTTACTCTCAGTGTGAAAGCTACATTTTAATTTATAATCTTTATCTCATATCTTCAGATAATGTAGCACATTTAGAGATTCTCTTGTCATTGCAAGAATTGCTGTGATGACATTTAAATTGCTAAGTTAACAAGAATGCTTGAGCTGTTAGCTTTTAAAACACTAATTGTCATATCTTCCTAATATAGTAAGGCCATATTGATGATGTGTAACTCCCCCAAAAAACACCCAACAAACCAAGCTTATGTAAATGAGTTCAACTTAAGTTCAATTTTTACGTGGTATTTATATAAATTTAAATTGTTTTGAAAATGTAGTTGATTCATCATAAAAACATTCACATAAGGACATTCATAGCTAAAATCAAAGTATTGTGTCTAAACATTCACTTCCAAATTAGAGATTTTTGACTATTTGACTAAGGACAGATGGTTATACAGACATTCTATTTTTGTTGTGTACATGACTTTGTTTTTTAAAATTATAATAAATTTGACTCAATATTGAATGAGACTGGGCTGATACAGATATTTGGGAAAAAATGATTATGTATAGAATTTGTTATGAAATGCCATTACATCTTCTAATAGTGTAGTAGAATAATAATATACTACTCTTATGGTAGAATACCTTATGCAAGGAGCAGTAGAAGTCATTTAGGACCAGTTAACTAAGGCATTAAGACATTTTGTTAATGAGGCCAAGTTGCTGGGTTTGATCTCTACAGGGGTTGGGATAATTACTGCAACTTTGTTCTGTGGCTGCTAAATCCCCAATTTCAATCAACTGTCTTGTAAATACACAAGTTGGTTGCAATCCAGAGTATGTTCCCTATAAGTGATGAGTCAGTAGTGAAATGTAGACACTTTAGACAGCACAGTTTAAATTTTTAAAATTCATTAATTTATTTTTGGTGATACTAAATTTACATTGTTCAAAAATTTTAAAATGTGCAAAATTTAGTGAAGGGTTTCTCTTTCTCTCCCAACCCTTGTCTCCCATCTGTTTAGTTTCCTTTATCCTTCCCACTAGATATTCACTATTATTAGTTTCTTATATATCCTTACAAGCAATGCTGTATCAGGATATGTTGAATATGTATTTTCCCTATGTCCTTTTAACAATAAATCATATTATCCTTTAGCAAGTGATCTGGACTTTGCCTTTTCACTTAACAGTATGTTCCGGAGATCATTCCAAAGAGCTTCCTGGCTCCTCTTCACAGCTGCATAGTATTCCATTCTGTATAAATACCATAATGTGTTTAACATTCTAATGGCATTTAGATTAGTTCCAATCTTCTATTACAGCAAGGCTGCTGCAATGAACAATACTGTACATATTTCATTTTTGTGTAAGATATCAACATATATTCTATCTCTGTCTCTTTCTTTGGGATAAATTCCTAGAAGTGGAATTGATGGGTAACATTCTACTTCCATTTGAAATTTTGATAGCTATTGTCAAATTACCCTATGGTTTTTTTACAGACTTGCTAGCACATGTTTAATTAAATTTTGAAATTTTTGCCTATCTTATAGGTGAAAAAAGCATCCTTTTAAAAAATAATCTGCATTTATTTTGTTGTGAGAGTGAAGTCAGGGAATTTTTTCATATATTTAAGAGCCATTTTTGTTTCCTTTTAGTGATCTGCCTGCTCATGTATTTTGCTCATTGTTTATTTTACCTTTTAAAATTGATTTTTAGAAGTGTTCATATTTTGAATCATATTAGAAAGGCCAATCTGAGGTTATAAGATAATGTTCCCTTGTTTTCTTATTCTTAAATTATACTTAAATATTTGATCCATTTGTAATTTATCCTGGAATATGGCATGAGATATACATCTACCTTTTTTTTTTCCCAGTTGACTACCCACTTTTTCTAACACCATTTATTGAATTATTCCACTTTTTCCTACTTTAAGATGCTGCTTTTATTATATAAATCAAATTCCTGTATGTATTTGGGTCTGCTTTTGAAATTTCTATTCTGTTTCACTGGTTTACGTATTCAGGGATCAGCACCTCACTGTTTTAATTGGTTTATATCTCATTAATTCCCATTGTGTTGCACTTCTTTTTTTGAGCTTTTGTGGATTTTCTGGCTAATATGTTTTTCTATACAAACTTTAGAATTACCTTTGGTTAAAAAATATGTTTTTATTTTTATTGGGAGCATGATGAAATTTCAGCTTCGAATTGACAACTTTTTATGATGATGGCATTCCATTTAAGAATGTTTTTCAAGTCTTGTGTCCTTCAGAAATGCTAAATTTTTTTTCATATTGGATTTAAGTATTTCTGATCAAGCTTATTCCTACTTAATATTTTAATTGCTATTATAAATGGTATCTTTTAAAATTAAATCTTATTACTGGTTGTTTGTATATATGAAAATTATTGATTTCCATATGTTAATTCTGTACCCTGCTAGTTCAATGAATTCTCTTATTGTTTGTAGTTTTTGAGTTGATTTTCTAGAGTTCTAAGACATATCCTTATATCAACTGAAAATAGAGAGGGTTTTAACTCCTTAAACCAAATGATATATAATAATGATAAAATAGGCATCTTTACATTGTTCTGATTATAGAATTGCTTCTTGTGTTTTCCATTAAGCATTGTGCTAGTTTTGGGTTGAAATAGATACATTTTATCATGTTAAGGAAGTAGCCATTGATTCTTATTTTAATGACTATATTATCAAGAATGCATATTCAATTTTGTCAAATGTCATTTTGGTATCTATGGGTATAATTCTTTTACACAAAAGCTCACAGGTAGATGGATATGACAATTTGATGTTTTTACCCTTAGATTTATGAATATGATGAACTTGATTTTTGTCTTGCTGCATACTTTCTACAGTCAAGTTTATGACAACTTTATGAGCTTTAGATTTCTAAATTTTGGGTTGCTTAAAGTTTAAAAATATTTAAGTTTATTTTTATAGATGTGTAGAAAATTAACATTTCTTTAATAAAATGCAGGTGACTTGGGAGAAAAGGGGGAGCGTGGCCCTCCAGGAAGAGGTCCTAAAGGTTTGCCTGGAGCTACAGGTCTTCCAGGTAAGTGTGTTGTATGGCAGGATGAGGTGGAGAAATTGGTAGCAAGTAGTATAACATTTTAAAAGAATTGCTATTTGATCACTTAATCATATCAGTTGATCATAAAGGCTGGCATAAATTTTTAAAGACCACCTGTAAGGAAGAGTTAAATGATCTGTAAATTATATCCATAGTCTCTGTGAGAAAATTGCTGTCAGGACTTGAAATATTAATTTCTTAAATAGATGCTATAAGAAAAATAGTGTCAAGGGCCAGGCACAATGCACTTGTTATGAAATTTTAAATGAATGGAGTCCTATCCATTTCTAGCCCAAGTGACAGTTTCTAGTATATATTTTTTAATCCAAAATGCCAGAGCAGTAGGAAAATTAACCTGTGTTTCAGCTATTCATGTTGCACAGGGAGTAAATGAAATTCTATTTTATAAGCTCTCCATTCAAACATCCAGACCCTCTAAAAGCTCAGATCCAAAAAAAATACAAACCTGAACATTCCTTCTCATGGCCACAAAGAGCCACACACAGCCACGTATCACAGCTGCGTCAACGGAGGCGATAGAATAGCCCCTGTGTGAAGAGCGCAGATTCTCTCACTGGGTGTTCTGTTCTCTTTATACACTGGCTACTCTGTCACTGGAGTCCATGTTGGGAAGTGGCTTACAAGCCCAACTGTAGAAGCAGCATAGCAGGGCCGAAAGCCAGTTCAGTTTAAGAGCGTAAATGATGTGCACCTTTCCAGCAAATTCTCTCTTACAGTGGCTGAGGCAATGGCTTAGGAAAGCTCCCAAAGCCCTAGTGTCTGTTGCTGAGGGGAGCTGAGGTGAAAGGGGTTGCACATTAAAAAAAAAAAAATAAAAAAAAAATAAAGTGAGGTGGTACTTACTTCCACAATGGAGGATTTGGAAAACTTGGTTTAGGGAAATTTAGGGAAAAGAAATTACTATTTTCTAATTCTGACAGAGGGTTACATATTTAATCCTGGCTATAATTATAGCCCGAAACATCATTGCTTTCTAATTATCCGTTTCATTGCTTCTGGGGATTGCTTTCTCATTAAACTTTTTTTTTTTTTTTTTTTTTAAATATGAATGATATGTCTGGAGATAGCTCAAACAAATATTTCCTTTCTAAAACTGATTCATGGGCCTGTCAAGATATTTTCACAAATTAATACATTTTTGTGATTGGAAATGGAAAATTTATGATTGGGGAAAAAAAAGGAAAATCTGGTTAGAACTAACTGGAATCAAGAGAAGATTTTAGTGTACAATAAAGTCTGGATTTGTTGATGGATGTTTGGAAGAGAGAAAGGAAATAAGAATACTAAGAGTGCTTTTCTCCTTTACCAGTATTACTAATAGGTTTTAAAGTTGATAAAATATCATCCTCACAGTTTACTTCATTATCTATCTATTTATAAGATAGCTCTCCTTCTCTCATTTGACAAATCACTTAACAGTTCTTGAACCAACAACTTGTACAATTGGCAACATTTTCCTTTATTGAAAATGTATTGTGGCTTCTAGTGATTCTTACTTTAAAAAAAAACCTATTGGTAAACCCACATTTTAAGTTTAAAAATGGGAAAATTGAGGAAGATGAGTTCTGGACATGCACAGTCCCAGACTGCCACAAGGAATCACATTATTTCCCAACTGCAATACCCACTCCAGGGAGCTGATTGACAGATGGCAGGGTAAGGGGAATGCTTTTCAGCCATTGCTCAGTCAGGAAGGGGCTTTGCTGGTTTGCTATTTAGTATATCAGACCACCCGGGTGTAGGCAAGATGGTAGGGCAGAACAATCTCATCAATTGCCGCTCTCTCTAGGCTCCCTTATGAAAAAAAAAAAATCAAGTTTGTTGTGTAGCTGGCCTCGGAATTTAATCTTATTAATAAATCTGATTCGTTAAAACATTTTGTTAAACATTGTTAAAACATTTTAGGAATCCTTTTTCAGGACTCCTAAGATCTGCCCTTTCTCTTTTTCTTTTCCTTTCTTTCTCTGGCTAGTCCTTGCCCCTTTCTTCCTGGGCCCACCTCCAAAATCATCGCCCTCCTTTGGTTTCTGTCCACCTCTCACTTCTATCGCATTGATGAGCTATCATTTCCTTCCACTGTTCTCACAGCGAAGCTCCCTTTTCTTGCATTCCTCCTTCTAGTAACTATGTCCCAACCTTCTGTAGTCTTTCTTATTTTAGACTTTTCTTACCTTTCCATGGAGAGGACATCTGACATTATTTCTTGAAACATCTGAGTTCTAGATTATTTTTCAAGAATATAAGCTAACTTTCAAAAGCACGCAGGTGCTGGACAGGGGAGTCTGCTACTGGGTCCGTGCTTTGGCACTCGGGCATGGGGGCCCCATATTTAGCATACTCATTCCGCTGGGGGCTTTGGTTTTTAGGTCAGCTCACATTCTCCTGTCTACACTGTGAATATGCTTAGCTAACAGTTTCTCAAGTCAGTCAAGTTTCTGACAAGAGCTTTTTGGGTCATTCTGTCCCTAATGCTAGTACTCTGAAAATGGGCTGTTTGGAGCATGGCCTCTGTGATTCAGATATCCTGGGTTCAAATTTCGTCTGACACTTACTGTCTATATGCCATAGGGCAAGTCACTTAATTTCTATGCACCTCAGTTTTCCCATTTATAAAACAATAACAATGTCATCTCTCTGATGGTGTAATTCTGAGAATGAAAGAAATTCAAGCCATGCAAAAAGTTCTTAGGACAATTCCTGGCTGTAGCAGGCATTCAAGAAATGTTGGTTGTTATTATCATTAACATATCAAATCTACTTTTTGCTTTTTGAGGTGGATGAAGGAGAGCTGCGGGCAAAGCTGGACCCTAGTTTAATAAGCCCTTACAGCTTCTTTTCTTCCTGCTTTGGATAAGCAATAATAGGTTACTCATCTCTCAATCAGCACGACCCTTAACCCCCAGACTGTGCCTCCTTCAAAATATACTTCATCTCTAAGTCAGAATCACAAAAGTACCGGTTAGCAGTGCATCATATCACTGGTTAATTGTCCACTGAGAGGCTGGACAATTTTTTTATTTCCTGTAGGATTTGGAATGTGATTAGGAATGTTATTTCTGGTCTCTTACAAACGTAATAGTAATAGGACTTTAAGGTCTGGAGGCCTTCAGTTAGACTCTCTGTAGGAGCTTGTCTGGAATCTTCTAGATAAATATACATCTTAGCTAAAAGAACAAGCCTGCAGAAGAACATATTCTGCAGCTTGCTTGCTTTCTTTCTTTCTTTCTTTCTGTCTGTCTGTCTGTCTGTCTTTCTGTCTTTCTTTCTCTTTCTTTCTGTCTTTCTGTCTTTCTTTCTGTCTTTCTCTCTGTCTCTCTTTCTCTCTTTCTCTCTCTCTTTCTCTTTCTCTCTCTCTCTCTCTCTCTCTCTTTCCTCTCTTTCCCTCTTTTCCCTCTTTTCCTTTCTTTCCTTTCTTTTCTTTCTTTTTCTGACAGTCTTGCTTTGTTGCCCAGGCTAGAGTGAGTGCTGTGGTGTCAGCCTAGCTCACAGCAACCTCAAACTCCTGGGCTCAAGCGATCCTCCTGCCTCAGCCTCCCAAGTAGCTGGGACTACAGGCATGCGCCACCATGCCCGGCTAATTTTTTCTATATATATTAGTTGGCCAATTAATTTCTTTCTATTTATAGTAGAGACGGGGTCTCCTCTTGCTCAGGCTGGTTTCGAACTCCTGAGGTCAAGCAATCTGCCCACCTCGGCCTCCCAGAGTGCTAGGATTACAGGCGTGAGCCACCGTACCTGGCCCTGCAGCTTGCTTTCTTATCCTTTTCGCTAGATTTGGGTCTCAAACCCTCCTGAATGGAAAAAAAGATTGTTTGATCATTCTTCTTTGTGCTAACATATCTAATATATTTTTTTTAAGAAATGTAACCAATATCTTCATTATCTATCAGTTATTAGAATTCCTTTATTTCTGGTCAGTTTTAGCTCTCTGACTACAATGCTATAATTCTATGTTTGTTTGGTGTTAAGTATTACCTGCCCTTTCGCGTTGTAATGCTACATTGCTTACTGTGGGCCATAGATTTTTATTATAACCATTAAATGGGCTATCATTTTGGCCATAGTGCTTTGTTTAAAAAGGGCGCATATATTATCTAGTTTGTTTCTCACAGCCAGAAGTAGGCAGGGCAAATATTTAAGAAGTCTGGCCCCTGAAGCCAGGCTGCCAGGGCTAATGCACTATTCTTTATCTCTTAGTGCTTCAGTTTCTTCCTCTGAAAATGGGAATAACCACATCCACCTTGTAGAGTTATTTAGGAGGACATATGTGCATGCTCATACATCTAAAGTGCTTGGGACAGTGCCTGGCACACAGTAAACACTCTGCAAATTTAGCTGTTATTATTATTGTTACTATTCATTTTACATTTGAGAAAATATAGACCTCCAAAGTCACATGTTCTGACAAAGGTCTCTCTGGTCAAAAGGCCTCTCAGGTTATAATGAGGCACATATTCATGCTTCCTGAGTCTAAGTTCACACAGTGGACAAAATGATGAGCTGGCTGTCCCAAACTATGCCTGCTTTGTTTTTGCCACCCTTGCCATGTGACTTGGGTAGGTCCCATAACCACCCTACCATGTGGATCACATTCATGATCCCTGAGACTTTACAGGTCAGCTAGTGTTACTGTCTTGTTGGGTTGTCTCATTAAGAGTAACCGTCTCTGTTTGCTGCCACTGAACGTGCCCATTTGGCATCAGTTCCTTGGCACACTGAGAATTTTAAGGAAAAATGGATCCTGACTTCCTTTTTGTAGATTTGAACTCCCTAGGGAAAGTAATAAATTAAGAATCATATGTATGTGAACAACACCAGGAATGTGACTTGTGAGCTGAGATGCTTTTCTCTTCCTGGATGTGAAGGTTAGAGCTGGCTTTGTGCTGGACCATGCACACTAGGCTACAAGGATATTCAGTTGTCTTGTGCAAAGTTTGCAGATAGATTTACTTAAAAACAATGAAAAAAAAAAAGCACCCAGTTTCCACCTGTTTTATAGTAGCCAATTATCCCATTTCCATTGCTGCAGCTATTGGGTTGTAGGGTCTTACATAAACCAATTTACACCGATTTCTTAAACATATACTGCTTTGTCGAATACCACAAAAGTAAGCTCAGTATAAGAAATGTAAGAAAATCCCTGACACATGCAAAAAATTAACATAACAGATAGATTAATCATCAAATACTCTATTTAATGCTGAGAATTTTTTGTAGTTTTTGTTTTGTCCACATACATGGTCCCTTTCATTCTATAGCATGTATTAGGTAAGAGGCTGCCTCCTTCAGAACGTTCCAGCTAGGACTGGGCTTCAACAGTGTAACATGCCTACCCTCTAGTGTTTGCTCAGAGAATGACATCAACATTCATTTTTTAAAAAATCATGAAACGTTTGCCAATAACGTTAAAAAATTTTATTTTCTTAACCTATAATAGTTCTATTAACATATTTATGGTGTACATTGTGATGTTTTGAGACATGTATAGAGATCAGATCAGGGTAATTAGCATATCCATCGTCTCAAACATTTATTGTTTGTTTGTGTTGCGAACATTCAGCATTTTTATAGGTTCTTGAAATTTCAGAAAACTGTGTAATCATTAGGCAGTTAGTATAGCTAACACACCCGAGCCAGGCAAAGCAGCATAAGGAAACTTCATATCTGTACTGTCTATTGCATAGTTTGTGGATATTCATTAATGCAGCTGCTGGCTAACCATTTATGCCTATTTTGTGAGCAGGTGTAGTGAATCAGCTTCACTTCTTGAGTGACTTGGATGGTGACAGAAGGTCAAGGTCACCCATCAGTGAGGCTCCCACACGAGTTTAGAGCACCCTGGAGAGCAAATGCCCTGGGTCAGGACTGATCAGAAAGTGACAATCTGTTATGTTAAGGCTGGCTTTTTTTCTCTGGCATTTTTATAGGGCAAAACCTCAGAAAAATATCTTAATTTCTTATGATAAAGCTCTGGAAAAATCAACAGTATTCTCAGTTATTGTGCCTCTTTCTACTCCCTGGTCAACTCAGGCCCGGTGAATTTAACAAACACCACCACCACAATAACACCCCCCTACTCCAAACACACACCCTTCTGCAAAGTTGTTAGCAAATTAGTAGGTATAAAAATACAACTGGGTTAGGGTGGTGGTTAAAAGTCCTTATTTCTAACTCTAGTGCTTTCTAGGTATATTACTATGGGCAGTTATTTAATAACCTTCCTAACTCTGTTTACACATGAGAAAAATGACTTCAATAATGAGCACAGTGTATGGCTCCTTATTTAGTAAAACCATGGCAAAGGGAAAAAGCATTTTTATTAAGTGTTGGTGGTGGTGATGATGCCATCATCCAAAGCTCCAAAGGGCAAATTACTCCATTCGCCAAAGGCAGAATTGGACTTAGATATGCTTTTCATAAAATAAATCAAAGGTGTAGACAGGATGGCTTCATCAAATCTTTTCTCAAAGGGTGAGCAGAAATTTGGAATAAACTCAGCAAGCTGAAAACAACTTCTGAAATGTGTTGAAACGAGAAGTAAACATGAAAATCTAAAAAGCTTTCCTTCTGCTTTTTAATATTGTGAGTTAGAGAATAAATTCCCTTAGACTTAAGGTTTTAGGCAGGGGGCTGGCCTTACAAATGTTGGGGAAAAAAACGTATTACTTGCTAACATTTAAAAAATTGAGAGATTTATCTAAAGACTCAGCTTCCTGGCTTCTCTTGAACATGATTGGCAATTCTGGCAACACTGGCCTGTCTCCCCCATGAGCAGCTGGCAGCTGGAGCAGGGCCTTGCCAGCCTCCGCTTTCCAGATCTCCACGGGCCTAATTCCTTCCTCTTACCTCCACGGCACTGATGCGGAGTACCAGTGGCCAATTTTCATTACAATTGCACTGTAAGTTTTCTTTTAGTAAAGACAGTGGTCCGTTTCTTAATCCAGGCCCATGTTTTTATATTAGGAATCCATAAACTTTTTTTCTGTAAAGGGCCAGATTCTTTGGCTGTAAGTGCCACGTGGTCTCTGTTGCCGCTACTCAACTCTGGGCTTGTGGCGCAAAAGCAACCGCAGACGGTATGTCCACAGATGACCTTGGCTGTGTTCTAATAAAACTATTCACAGAAACAGGATTTGGCTCATGGGCTGAAGGTTGCCCACCCTTGATCTACATTACCTGCCCAGCCCCTGTGGTCATTTGATTTTTCTACCTCTCCTTTGGGCATTTTCTCCTTCTAATCTTGATTAGATTTTGTTAAGGGAGACCTGGTAAGTCTCATTTGGGACATTTATACTGGGAAGGTACGAGAGGATCACCTTTTATACACATTTAGACCTGGCTCACCTTTTAAACCTTAAGGAAAAAAATCAACTTAACCTTTAACTGCTCGCAGTGTCTGGGAAGCTGAATAGGGGCTGCTAAAGGCATAGTTCTATGTAGTACAGCCTTATCTATAGATGCTGTGGATTAAGGAGGAGCTTTCTGGGGGGTGGGGCTCACTGTTAGAGGAAAACACATATCATCTGTTTTCATCACAACTCAGCATAGTTGAATGAAAGCTTATGGGATAAATTAGGGGAAATTACATCTCTGCTTATCTATGGCTTTTTATTCTTCCTTAAAACCTATTAATATTTTGCCCTATAAAATTGCTTTTTGTGGATCTAATTGTAAGCACAAGAGGAAGAATGAGATGTTATGTAAAATAGGATCTCTACCTTCCTTCTAAAAGTATGTGTATTGTATATGTATGAGACCACTGAATAAGACCAGACCAGTATAATAAGACCAAAAATGACATATGCAATAAGACCACTAAAATAGAAAAAGAAAAGTAAAAATCATGGAGAAAGAAGGAAAGTAACTAAGCCTAAACAAGTATGTAATTGAACATGAAGATGTATGGCTTTCAGCTTTTTGGCTGAGTGACCAAGTTAAGATGGCTGAGATGGAGTGAGGATCTCTGTAATATCATATCATCATGGCATATACGCTTTCTTTTGTACTGATTTCTCATCGCCATCTTTGTATTAATAGCATGAAAGCGCCACTGGTGCGATGGGATAAACATTCAGCAGAAATTCCTCATGGTTATGGGGTGCCATGCCTCAGAGAATGGGCTCATTGGGGGAAACATACAACTGTTGAACATGGGGAGAGGAAGCCATGCAAGAGATGCCCCCAAGGAACTTGCTACGGTGAAGTTCATGTTGGGGTGAGCCCCTGATGAGAAGAATACCATGAAATTTTGTGGGGCTCATGGCACAGTCTTCTAAAACACATTAATCAATATCCTAATAATTATAGTAGCTCTTATTTATCAGGTGCTTTCAGTCATGGAATTTAATGATAAGGAAGGCATTAGCCTATCTTATAGATGAAGAAACTAAGAGGTTGGTGACTTGCTAATGTCACACTATTTGTAAATAGCAGAGCTAGAACTTAAAGCCATTTGTGTGTTGCCAGAACTTGTGTTTTTAACCAGTGAGTTATACTTCTCCTTGCCTGGATGTTGCTTACCTATTAGACATAAGGAATGCTGCTACTGCAGTGCTGTTCAGAAGAAATATGGTGTGAGCCAGAAATGTGACTCATGTGTATGATTTTAAATTCTTAAGCAGCCGCATTAAAAAGGTAAAAAAAAAAAATCAAGTGAGATTAACTTTAATACGGCAGTTTGCTTAACCTACTGCATGCAAAATATAATTTCATCATGTAATAGATACAAAAATTATTAATGAAATAGCTTGTTTTTTTTTTCACACCAAGTCTTTAAAATCCAGTTGTGCTTTATACTTACAGTTCATCTCTATTTGGCTTGGTCACATTTCAGTGCTCAATAGACACATGTGGCTAGAGGCTACTGTGGTGCACAGTGTAGCCCTACTGACCCTCAGGTCTGTTTTTTTTTTTTTTTAAATTTCTGTGAAACTCAAGTCCAATGAAGGGATTTTATCATCATCATCGTCATCACTCAGCATTTCTGCCAGTTTGCAGCTACGAGGATTCTCCTGTTCACATGTATTTGTTCTTTTTTTTTTTTTTTTTTTTGAGACAGAGTCTCACTTTGTTGCCTGGGCTAGAGTGAGTGCTGTGGTGTCAGCCTAGCTCACAGCAACCTCAATCTCCTGGGCTCGAGCAATCTTGCTGCCTCAGCCTTCTAGTAGCTGGGACTACAGGCATGCGCCACCATGCCCGGCTAATTTTTTCTATATATATTAGTTGGCCAATTAATTTTTTTCTATTTATAGTAGAGACAGGGTCTCCCTCTTGCTCAGGCTGGTTTCGAACTCCTGACCTCGAGCAATCTGCCCGCCTTGGCCTTCCAGAGTGCTAGGATTACAGGCGTGAGCCACCGTGCCCGGCCTCACATGCGTTTGTTCTTATGTGTTTCAGGTGACCCAGGCCCTGCCAGCTATGGGAGAAATGGCCGGGACGGTGAGCGAGGCCCCCCAGGGGTGGCAGGAATTCCTGGTGTGCCTGGGCCCCCCGGACCTGCTGGCCCTCCCGGTTTCTGTGAGCCAGCCTCCTGCACCGTGCAGGCTGGTCAGCGAGCCTTTAGCAAAGGGCCCGATCCGTGAAGGGCTTAGTGCTGCATAAACCACGCCTGGTGAAGGAGCTTGGAGGAGAGACACTACCGGAAGCTGGGGCAAAGATGACAGTTACCTTCAACATGATTACAGAGTCCTACTTGACAATCAGATTTAGAAGAATGGTGCTATTCAATAAGTCCTCTTTCTTTCTCTTGGAGGGAAGACAGCGGAGTCATTGGTTAATAAAACACACACACAAACCTCCCTTTAAATAAATTTATAATCCTGTTCCCAGGATCTTGAACTTTAGTGTGCTATATATATGTGATATGTTGTGGGCCACTGTGCCAATAAACAAAAACAACTGTTTGGTTTACCTCAGTGGCAGTAATTATTTTCATTTTTTATTTAGATGTTCTCAGATTATTGTTTCAGTTATATTGGAGATTACTAGACTGGTTATGAAGAAATCCCACTACATTCAATAGAACTGGTGCTTAAAATCCCATCCATGTGCTTTCTTGGGAGTGGCAAGAAAGGGCTGTGTCATCTGAAATGATTTTCTTATATCGCATGTTAGTTTCCATCTTCAGCCTGAATTTTCATTGAACTGTATGTACTGCACCCCAAACCTGTTAATATTTTGAGCTCTTCTATGTGAAAACAAGGAATTTTAATATCCTGGCATTCATAAATTTTATTGATGAGACTATTTATTTTAAAGGTTTGAGGTAACATCTCTGGTTGTACCAAAGAAATAAATATGGTTTCTGTTAATCTCTTGCATGCTTTCTTATAAATAACCATGTTCAGTGAAAAGCAATCACTGAGCTTATTTAGATACATTAAAAAAAATTTAAATCACTGGTAGTTCTATAGTACTGTGGTCCCCAACTCCTGGGCCGTGGACCAGTGCCAGTCGGTGGCCTGTTAGGAAGCGGGCTGCACAGCAGAAGGTGAGTGGCAGGTGAGCAAGGAAAGCTTCATCTATTTACAGCAGCTGCCCACCACTCGCATCACTGCCTGAGCTCTGCCTCTCCTCTCTTCTCCTCCCCAGTCAGTGGAAAAATTGTCTTCCATGAAACCAGTCCCTTGTGCCAAAAAGGTTAGGGACTGCTGTATATGTGTACAATATTAGTGTTTTTTTCCACACAGAGTAAGAAGCCCTTACTGTTCTAGACAGTGCTACCCTGTGACAGATGTTCTGTGTGTGGTGTATGGGGAGAGCTTCATGGACCTTTCTGGAATTCTAATGAAAGCTAGGGACCCATACCCCAGAAAAATGCAAAAATGCATATACATTTTTTTGTATAGCATTTCAGAGATTTCATGGACTCCTTTGATTCTAGCCTTGCTTTGTTTCTAGGTTAAGAATCGCTGCCTTCATTCCAATGGTTGGTTAGCTCTTTCCTAGTCAGGACTTTACTGCTACAAAAATGATTTATGAAAAAAAAATGATTTATGTTTCACCATTTCTTATAAATTTTGTAAAGGCAGCTCAACTAAAGCACTTAATAAGATGGGTATTTCCTGACCACTCAAGCACTTTCTATTTATGTAATCATATCGGTTTGCTATTTCATTAACATTGACTTGAACTATCCAACAGATTTAATATACTCTATGTCACAGTGCATATGAGTGACTTGTCCCAGGGCATAGAACAGCTCAGAATAGTCAATATCTTTAGTTAGTTTATGGGACTCAATCTCTCAAGTTAAGGGGGAGCAAGCACTAATAAGATTTTTGACATCACTTTCCATAAGTTTTAAAATTCTAGTCCCTAGTTGTTTGGTTAAATCAATCATTATGTAATCTGTATTTGGATTTCTTTAAAACTGGTTATAGCATCTAGTTCTATGCTTCTATCATGAATTGTGCTTACAAAGATTCCAACCTGGCTGTAGAGATTAGTGCCATATACACAGAATGAAAAGATGTTCTTCCTCTTGTCTGGAAGATGATTTTTGGAAATTGAGGTATCTGTTATAGCCCCCTAAAATCTTTATAAAAATGATAAACTTTTTCAGGAGCTGAATCACATAATAAATTCAGAGATTATCTTTTCACCAAAGTGCTTTTATTTTAACTGGCATGACATAATCAAATACAACAAAAGAAAAATTAGATAAATGTGTTTCTAAGTTCTATGATACATTCATAAGAAAATTAAAAAATAAAATTTCAAAGAACAGTTCACTCAACTGTTTTACAAACATTATATATATATATTACTATAAAGGCTGCACAACAAGCTCCACAGATGTGGGAAACAACATTGGAAACAATCACTTACAAATAGATTATGCAAAACAATCACATTCCAAAATGGCAGGAACAATTCATTATAAATTTCAGTTAAGTGAAATAGTTTACAGAAACAATAATACTTAGAAATTGCAAAGAAAAGTGCCCAGCAAATCCTCTCCATGAAAGAGCTGGTATTGAATTTGACCAAGAATACTTCTCTAGCAAAACAGAAATCTCCAAATTGTCTTTGAGAGATTTTAAAAAGTTGGATCAAGTGTCAACTAGAGCATTCACTGAGAGAAGAACCTGTAAATATTTAAAGTTGCTTAGAACTGTCACGTTAATTGAGGGCAAATGATTTCTGATTTATTTCCAGTCCAGGCTTCTATGGTAATGTGATCTGATTTTCATCCCAAATATCTTGACAGGTTGGTTAAGAACTATGAAAATCATTTCCCAGTCTGAGCACGTAAATTCACTGGTACGGTTTTAAGTAACTGATTTCTGTATAGCAGAAGATTGTAGATCAGGTTAGGTGATTGATTTGATGATTTATAGATATTTTATGTTATGGATACTATACCAATATTACTATTCTTAAACAGCATTAGTAAAACCTGATTTGTCACCTGAAATAAGTTTAATATAAATCCCTGCTTTAGGAAGATTGTATTATTTAATTTTTTGGCTACAATAGTGTTTCTGAGGTACTAAAATGTCTGCATTTAAAAATGAACCAACATAGGTGGAAAATCACAAGAAATAAATAAAATTATTCCAAATATCAAGAATGATATTGGAAAAGGATTGAAAAATGAGTGAAAAAGCAGTATTAAGGAAAAAAATACTAGCAAACTAGCAATCTTCCTATTTATAAATGGGCAATTGACAAATTATTTTAAGTATCTTTTTAAGAGAATATTTGTGTTCAATAAACATAGGTCAAGTCTTTTTTCTTTTCATATAGTAAATACTTTTCCATTTTGTACTTAGTTGTTTTAGTAAACTTGTGTCCCAGGACACAGCAATTTTTAGTACATATGGCTCAGTAAATATTAAATCCAATGGGCTAACTGTAATAATATCTGTCTATAAATACACATGCTCAAATGCTCCTTAAAGAATTAACTAGAGGAAGTGTAACATATTTGATAGATCTCGGTATCAGGAAAGGATGATGACTGATAATTATTTTTAGTTTCGGTAAATGGCAATTCATGCCAACTTTCTGCTTAACATGCCTTCACACATTGCTCTTGACTTCAAGTTATCTAAAATAATTGAAGAGAGAACAAATGAGGAAAATTGTGGCCAAGAAACTAGCTTTCTGAGATGTATTCGAACTTGCCTTTGGCCTACAAGTTGAAAATTTGTGTGTGAAAATACAAAATGTCTTAGAGAGCACCTAGTTAATTAATCAGGAGGGAACCTACAGATAAAAATATTTCATTACTATGACCCAGTATAAATTAATGTATAAATCCACTGGCATGTCTTAATGTAATGAATTTCTGTTAAGAAAACATGCTGTATATTTAACCCCTTATTGCTTGTTTGTTGTCTTACTGCTTATGATGTAAGAGCTTATATTTATGAGAAAAGTTAATTGTGAAATTTCTTATCTCACTCAGGGACCTCTACAGCAATTGAGTCTCAAATGATTTTAGTGAGGTGATCACTCTTGGGGACAAAAGTCCCACAGTACTGCCAGCTTTCTGACTTTTGTTTCTGCTTATAATTCTCATCTGAAATCATTAGACTAGGCTTTTTATGAGCTGCCAGGGAGATGTGTTATAAATGCAATGACTCATATGTCAAACAAAACTATAATTACCAGCATGGTATAAACATAAACCCTGCAATAGATCAATTACAGGTTCCTTGGACAGCTGTGGGGTTCACACTTGGTACAAGAGCACTTTGGGAGCATCCCTGCGGTTGACACTTAGAATGAAACTGAAGTGTGGCCCTGCAGCCACAAGAAGTAATGAAAATAGACATGGCATTAATAACTGCACCTTAGAATTCCCTGATTTAGAGTCAAATCCTTTATTGCTGAGATAGGCTACAAACTCATTGTGCGTAATGAATATATAGCAATCAAGGGTTCAAAGCATTATATATATCCATGTGGGACTTAGAATAAAACTAGTGCCATTCTATTTAACATGAGTGTATTGAATTAAACATTAAATAGTTTAATAAGGTAAGATAAAGAACAAATAAAATGAGGGAAAATACATCCTAAATGTTATTTTAAAAATAAATACTTATAAAATATGTCTAATACAATCTGAATTTAAATACATTAATACACTGAAAAATATACCTAAAATATACTTTAACACAGCAAAATAAAAAGTTGTAAAATAGCTAGCATCTTTACACCCACAATCTTATCATGGTCAAGCGACACTCATGCTTCTTATAAACTTAAATCTTATTTAACTACCCTCTAATTTTAGTGAAACTTCCCACGTTATTAGTATTCACTTTTGACAAATTCACGAAGCAATTTAGCTAACTCCTTGAGTTGTACCACATATCACTCACTATTGGATCTGAATTTGAAATTTTCACTCACTATTGGATTTGAACTTAGATTTCCTTAGATTTAGCTTTGGTCTTAAAAACTTGTCATATATTTCAGGTACATTTTTGCTATGCTGGATCTACTTGTCTGAAGGAATTTTCTCTGTGTTCACCTGTGCTTCCTTCAATTTAACCAAACTGATCAGTTACTCTGGCATAATTTTGTTGAGTAAAATGTTTGGATTATAGCTATAGCTATACCACACCTTAAAAATGAAAACTATCATTTGTCCTGTTTTCTGAAACTCCCATTAGTTGAACAAATTAATGTAATTATTGCTGCTTTAGCAGCCAACTAACAAATGAATACAATTCAATGGGTGAAGTCACTTTGAAGAACATAGGCTTAAAAGATACAAATCTGATTCTTTTCTGCATCTCTTCCTCTCAGAAACCTGAAAAATCTTTAAAGAGGTGAGGGTATAAAAGCAGAGTGCATGCTTTAACACTGAAATGTTAAGAAACAAGAGTGGGAAACCACAACAGGAAACACTTGTGTGTTTCAAGAAAGTGGACATAGACAAATGTGAAAAATAATTGAAGAACAAGAGCCATAAGCAAATCTGCAATACTATTCTGGGGATTCATTAAAAGAGTTCCAGCATAACACTTGACCTAGAAATTCTCGATCCCATTATTATAAATGTTAGGAAAGTAAAAATGGTATTTTGAAAAAACAATGTTCCTAATCTTACTTTTGTAAATAGTGATATGTATTTAGAAAAATAGAATTATTCAAATCTAATTGTAAAATTTTAAGTACATTGAACATTATGGAGTTTAGACATTGTGTAATTTTAGAAATTGTCTACTTCTTGTGATAAGCTAAATCATTTTACTTGTCTGTCAAAAGAGAGTATGTGTCCTGTCTGAAAGGTAGGATGATTACTTAGGTGTCTTCATATTAATCACTAAAATATGAGGGTAGTGTACAAAGTTATGAATAGGAAATTTGTATGTTAAATAGGATATAAATGTGTGTGTATGTGTATATTATGTATATATCCACTGAAGAAATAAAATTGAAACGGTCAACAAATCAAAGATACAGTACCTGCTCCATAAAGATACTTAAGATTAGGAAAAACATAAATTAACAAAAAAAATTAACAACGAATTAGTTACAAAAGTAAAAAATAAAAAGTGCAAGGGCAAAGGTGTGATTTAGTTGTCCACTAAACTGTTCCTAGCCTCGTATTTCTGTGAGTCTGTTTAGTTCTTCTGAACAAATTGCTTTAAACACCATCTTGTGGACAAAAGGAGGTATTTCATAGTTTCCCAACAGATGAGAAAGACTGAAGAAAAGCTAAACCTTACTTAACTCCTAAAACATACTCATAAAAAATTACTTTATGAGCCAAATATCAAATGACAAATTTTTACACACAACATATCTTAAGATAATTAGTTAAGCTCTATAAGTGACTAAAATTTTAAAGTTTCAACAACATCATGAAATATAGAAATAAGCATATGGGGTTACTTTAAATTATCATCACAGGTATAAAGTTTAAAAGGTTAAGACTGTGTTTCTGTTAGAAGTAATGATTAATGTCTTCAGTTGGAAAGAACAATGAAAAAATTCATGCATTACTTTTTTCTTTAGATTCCAAAGACCAGAAATATTAATTGAAGTAATCTCTTGTTTGCATAGAAAGACTTCTATCTGAAAGTGATAATCCTTGGAATAAAATGAAAGACTGGAATTCAAAGATGCTTCTACATGGAAAACACAGTTTTAATATCACAGCCAATAATTATTTTTTATTTAAGCACTCATGTTATCTGGAGCGCAAATGGATAATTCATGAAATTTGATAACTGACATCTCTGACACCTATGTGGAAATAAACACATATCTTGGAATGGAATAAAATGGTAGAAGAGATTTGGCAACCACCAAGTTACTTACAGGAAAATGTCCCTCCCTACTTTGGGGCCTGAATTATTTACTTTCTTTTTATTAAAGGAATTAGGAAATGCTAAATCTCCACTTCATTTGGTGTTATATTAGCTGGACCCAGCATTTCTTGCTGCTCTTTGTTGCATATCATGTATACAGAGCCAAGGCAGAAAAAGGTATCTGCAGGTAAATAATAGAGTAGGGATTTTTCTAGTTATGTCAAAGTTTGTCATATGTCCCAGTTACAAAAAATGAGCCTGAATCATTGTGATAGTTTCACTTTGTAATATGCACCACATAAGATTATATTTCCACCTCCCTCCCTTTCCTTCTCAAATTACCTGAATAAATCCAAATATTTGGAACAAGATAAACCAGTCAAGCATTAATGGAAGTTGGAAGAAGAAAGATTCTTAGATATACAATTTGTAAGGAAGGATGCATGACATTTTTTGTAGACTAAAAATGGACAGAATTTATAAAACAAGAAAATGAATCATGTCTTTTCATGTACATGAAAGGATCAACTAAACTCCCCCCCAAAATTGATCATCATCAGCAAAAAAGTCCACAAAAACATTAAAATGATAAATTGAACACTTTTAAATTAGCAAAGAGGCAAAAAGATAAACAACCTATTAATATGAAAAAATAATATTTGAAAACATAAAATGTTTAGTTTTAGGACAAATTCAAGTAAATTAATATGAGTGGCAGATAAGTTATAAGCTTTCAGAAAATTCAACAAATTAAAAGTTCAAGATATACACATAGCACCAAATTTTAGATCTATGTACACTTTTTCGGGATAAATTATCATTTTACTAAGAAACACATATGTATACTCCAATTGTGTGAGTTTAAAACACAGCACCATTGTAGGTATTGCACAGGAAAGAAAATGAAAAAGAAAATCAATTTAAAGTTAAAAACACTTAAATAAAATAACCTTGAAAAATAAAATAAATAAACCTGGACTTGAAATATACAGTATAACTCAATATGAAATAACTAAAAAGGTTGTGTGTATGCACAGCCACGTAGACAGTACCTGACCAGCAGTTCATTCATTTATAATGAAAACCAGTTCAAAATCATAGGTGCATTTGAGCAAACCCTGCCTTAATGTAGGCACATTCCTCAGACACAACTCTGTTCACAGCTTTTTCTAATTTCAGTGGGCTTGTCTTTCCAAACTCATTTTTCAATTAACAGACAAAAGCAATCCTCCTACTCTGCTTTAGCCAAATTGAAATCTACACTGCTTCTTGAAGAGGTAAGAACCCTGATTTCTGTGACAGGAGGGCTCTGGCGCCATGCTCCCAGCATCTGTGGGACCTACCAGCTAGATTTGAGCAACATCCTCATGCCCAGTACTTTAGAAAATCAGGTGTTTTCAACCAACAGGTTCTCACAATAATGTATAGCTAGTCAGGAGAAATACTGTTTAGTAGTTTGGTTGATGATCACTATATTTTTGTTTCCTTTCAGAGGACATGGTTTTGAAGCGAGTGTTAACTCTTTGGTCTGCGTGCTAGTTGCATATTCAGTCCCATGGTTTTCCTTTGCTGAGCTGTGCACCTCATGTTGCAGATTCTGGAGAAACATTATTCTCCTTAAGAGCTTTTGGGCTTCGCTTTCTCAATATGCATTTGCTGAGACCACTCATTCATCTTCTAGGACAAGCAGATTTCTTTTCCAGTTGCTACAAATCCCAGCCTTTGTTCTGATGGCCAATTCTTAAAGTCTGCGGGTGATGAGGTCAGAAGGATAATGGATATAGGGTCCCAAAGATCTTGCTAGGCCATTTAAGTTTCAGGAATACCAAAGGCAATTTGGTACCTTCACCACCAGACATCTCTTAGGGAAAACAGCTTTCTGTTTACCAAGGAGAAACTTGGAACGGGACCACAGAAGGTTAGGCTTTTCTTGTAGAACTCACATACAAATGGAATTCATTCCTTACTTTTCATGCATTTACGTATACATGCTAGTGGTGATTGCTTTGAATTGAGCTCATTATACAGAGTTAACAAAATCATTTCAGTAGTTGGCTATGGTGAGTTTTTGGGATCCCTGATAAAATAGGCTCCTGTGTTTTTTCCAAAACATAAGTTATACAGTGAAGCTCTTATTGCCTATCTATTTTTCTGTGTAAGTAGGACAGATATAGGTATAAGAATTCTTAAGTTATAAAAAGTAGTCAAAAAACATTCAACAGGAGCAATGCACTATATCAAAAAAGTTGACAAAATTCTTAGCAATGATAATAAATTTAAACACCAAGAAAACTTCAGGATAAGTCTGAAACTTTAAAATTCAGAAAGCAAAGGCCAACCACATGTCAATGAGTCTACAAAATGGATATCATCATCAGTCTACTAAATCATAATATGTAGTTTCTTTTTGAAGATGAACTAATGATAAGATTTGCTTGTGTATTTCATGTAAAACTGAATAAAAAGCATAGTAATGGTAAAGGAAAACATGGAATGAATTTGGGAAAAATCTAAAAATGCTGATTTGCAATTCCTGTAGGAATAGGATTCAAATGGTCGCTTTAAATGTCTGGCCTATACCATAAAAAAAAAAAAAAAAAAAAAAAAAAGCAGCCCACATATCATGAGGATTTGGCAGACGGTATTAAGATAACTCCAATGGCAAGGAGGTATCACCAGGAACCAAGTCTTCTTCAGGTGTGTTCATTTCCCACCTGTCTGCTGATGGGCTGGAGACACAGGATAGAGGCAGTCTTCTGGGTTACATCTTCCACTGGGTCCTGGGGGGCCCTGGGGCCCTGGGGCACCTGGTGAGCCTGGCAAACCCAGAGCTATAAAATAAAAGACCTCATCAGAATGCAGATCACATATAGCCCTCCCTCCAATCAACATGGATCATTCAACTTGACATAAGGACCAAAGGGGAGAGGCATGGTTACCAGTTTTAGAGACTTGCTGGTGTTGTGAAGACAATGTCTCTATTACCTGAAGTCCCAGGAAGACCTGGACTCCCTGGCAGCCCAATTCCAGGTTCACCTCTTTCTCCCTTCTGTCCTCGGTAGCCTAAGCAAGAGGCATATAAAAACAGAGATACAAAAAGCAAGTTTTATATGGCAGTAGCACACAAAAAAACCATTTTTCTGAGTCTGTGATATTTATGTGATTCCTTCACTTAACATAAATAGAATATCAGCCAGCCATCTGCTTTGTATTAAACACATATTAAACTTGAATATAAAACAGATTGAATACAATAGAGCAATGAGGATCTTAAAAAGATGTAACTCCTATAAAAAGTTCCAACTAGTCAAACTTTTAGTGAAATTTTTGGCACTGAAAATGATAGCCAAATAACTCAAATCAATCATTCATATCTTCTTTCAAATAGTTACGACAGGGTATGTGAACCCTCTTCATTAGGCATTCTGACTAGAGACTAGGTACAGGCTAAGGAAAAGAAGTATACGGAAAGAGCCCTGCTTAAAATGAGAACAAGATAATATGATAAGAAGCTGGGCCTTAGGCTCAGAATTAAAGGAAATGAAATAAACAAGCAACTCATGATTTTTAATATTAAGTAAATGATAGCAAGAGTGTGAGTACATGTGAGTTAACTTATCTGAAGAGTCAGGTCTGTGTTCAAATTATTGACTATAACAATATTATATCCTTTCTAAGGAAAGTATAAACAGTAACCCCATGTTTTCACATGGCAGTTTATAATTCGAAAGGAGCTTCCACAGTGCTAGAAAACAGATCGAGGGATTCTCCCCAAAGCACTTCATCAACTTAAGAAAATTTAACCAAAATGAATCAGGTCTAAGATCTGTGTACATTTTAAGATAAAATCACTTTAATTCTTGAATATGCTTGTTATTGCCTGAGCTAGAATAGTACAGAGCAATTTATGTCTCCAGGAGTCCTTATCTCTGCTTTTAAAAAAGGCATAAAGCATTTTTATCTGTGTTTTATTCATTGACATTTACGTAATACTTTGTTTGAAGAAGAGGTTCTGTGCTAAAACAGTTTCACAATGATGGTAAATAGAGTTTTTATTTCCGACTTTTTCGTGCTTAAAGATTGCTCCTAGTCCCAAATGAACAGAGAAGCCATGCAGAATTTAGGCAGACACACAGCAAAGGTATAAGAGGGAGAGCACCTCAGTAGGAAACAGTAGGTCCTAACTTAGTTTGCCTTTTCATAAAGGTTTGTTATTATAGTAGAACATGACAGGAGGGGAAAATTTAATGCTACCTATGAACAGTGTATGTAATAAATTACTTCCCATTATTGTTGAGAATTAGACATTAGCTTTCGAGTTACCATTCTCAGTTTTGACTTGGCCATTTGATGTACACAGTATTATCCAGGTAACATTAGCAATGCAATCACTACACAGTTATTTCTTTGCCATAGAGGTATTAATTGATCATAAATGTGAAAATGGTGGAAAAAAGATATATATTAAAAAATATTTTGAAGTGATATTGGAAATGACATCCAGCAGGAAACCTATGTTAAAGATATCCAATACAATCCTAGGTCCTAGGAAAGCATAAACATGTGGCACAATACCCTAAGCTAATATATATTCAAATTTAAAATAGTTCTAAGATTTCTTTGCTATAAATGATTTTCACTTAACATAAGTGAACAATAGGGAAAAATAGTTGTACATACGGTCATTTGAAAGCACCCTTCCAAATCTATTATTTAAACATTTCAGGAGTGAAATAACAAATTTGAACATTTATTTGAACATTTATTACTTGAGGTGTATTTGATAGTTCAACCCAGGTCTCACTGTTATAGAAAGATTGTAAAGTTGACCCTCAAGCTATCTCAGTAAGTACTCAAGATCATGAGCTAAAAAATGAGGAAGAAAGAATAATAACTGAAGATAGATGAATTTTTGATTAACAAGAGGATTAACAAGACTGTAACAATTCCAAATGAAGAATATATCTGCTAAAACCACCTATTTAATTCAAATTCAGCTTTCACATTTTAATATAATCCAAAAATATAGCATCCCACATGGATTTCAGTGCATATGGCATCAAAAAACAAGAAATGATCATTTGTGTATTTGTATAAAAAGGTAATATTTAGCTTCCTCTGCCTGTCAAATGTAGCAATTTCTTTATACAAATTTCTCAGTTCATTAGGTTAATAACTGCCTGTTATTCATAGATAAAGCCTTTGAATTACACAAGCATAAGAGAGCTTTCTACTCTTGAATTTCCTATTAAGGACCCAACTGCATTTATTATGAAAGCTGCCATAAAGCCATAGGGTCTTATTTTATAATTGCTTCCTAACAAAAATTCAGATAGGAATGCTAACAAAGTCAATAACAGCTTTCCCCTTTTCTAGAATTAAGCTTTTCACTTCTTGGGCAGGACTCTCTTTAAATATGGAAGAGGCTGGTCTACCTGCAAACAGACATGTATTTTCATACACTAGAAGTATGTAGGATGACATTTTGATTTCACTGTAGCTTATACAGGAAAACAGAAATAAAATAATGGCAGTGTCCTAACTGAATCCACCTAGAGGTACTGGTCATTGATGAAACTTGGTGTTTGGTATAGTTTTTCAGGTAGTAGAGACTGTGTTTATTTCCAGTAGGGAGATTTCAGTTTCAATCCCAGAGATTTATTTCTAAAGTTGTAAATCTGTGCATCTATATTCATACTGAACAAATGAGGCCAGAAAAATGCTATTGGCATTTTGGGAGAAATAATTTCTTCATGTGGGCACTTGTGTTGTGCCTTACAAGTAGTTTAGCTTCCTGGTCCGCTGATGGACAGCAGTGCCCTTTAGTAATCTGGACACACACTCACTTGCCCTCCCGATGCCAAAGGCCCTGACTGCCAACAAATTTGAAAGGTCAAATCTCTATCAGTTACATGAATTACGCTATGGGCCACTGGCTTACAAATAACAGAAGGTTTTCCTTCATTATAAACCAATAACGGCTAAATTTTAAAAGTTCAAAAATAAGAGCAAACACTCCCAGTACTGTCCTTTTAAAACTGATGGAGGGCACATGGAGTGGATGTGTCTGTTTTTTCCTACCAACGCCACGTGGGGTTCTTTCTGAATTGAACAGGGCTTTCGAGTGTGGCATCTATTCCTCCGGGTTTTCGTATGAGTGGAGAATAAGCTATATTTGGGAAAAGTTCCCCTCTCCTATCTGTATAGGGAACACCAGTTGGATCATGCTTCTTGGGGCTTCTTTGATCTTGAGGTGGCACATTTTCAGCTCACCCTTGGAGCACTAGCCCTGAGGACTTGCCCTGCAGACCCGCTGTGGGAACAAAGAATCCCAAGGGAAGCTCCCTCTCAATGCATAGTGTGAAGGTGATAGTCAGAGTCCCACAGGATGGCTAAAATAGAAAACTGTCTGGAAATGCTTTTGACTTTAAAAAGGACATCAACAACCTTCCCTTTGGGAATTTCGGAAAAATGTGAACGAGGTGACCTAACACAAAGTCATAATGATCTCTATTCTCACTTTAAGAAGATCACGGTGCTGACAGAGGATCAACGAGTTTTCATTATAAGAATCTTGGTAGGAGCAGTACCTCCCTTTTTCAACTTGGATTGCCAACTTCTAACAGTCTCGCATCAATGTTCTCATTGTTTTCTATTAATACATGTCTGCTCCTTCTCAGAATGATCACAGAGAACTTTATGAGGCCTCTTTATAAAGCGGCCGGGCATGGTGGCTCATGCCTGTAATGCTAGCACTCTGGGAGGCCGAGGCGGGAGGATCGCTCAAGGTCAGGAGTTCGAAACCAGCCTGAGCAAGAACGAGACCCCATCTCTACTAAAAATAGAAAGAAATTAATTGGCCAACTAATATATATATGTATATATATATATATAAAATTAGCCGGGCATGGTGGCTCATGCCTGTAGTCCCAGCTACTCAGGAGGCTGAGGCAGAAGGATTGCTTGAGCCCAGGAGTTTGAAGTTGCTGTGAGCTCGGCTGACGCCATGACACTCTAGCCCAGGCAACAGAGGGAGATTCTGTCTCAAAAAAAAAATAGATAATAAAGGACTCATTCTATAGTACATATTCCAAACCAAACCACTTAGTTTTCAACAAAATGGATTTCTTTCCTGATGAACACAGAAAACACAAAGTTTCTTTGAGAAATTTCTTTTGGAAATTTCAGAAGAGCCACCATCAAACAGAATTAATGAGTGGGTAAAACATATTGTGTCATACTCAGTGGCCACATTTTCTTTCCCTTTCTATGTTGCATTTCTCACTGCAACCCTTTCTCAAACTCAGTCATGCTGTGTCAAGAAAAGGACTAATTCAGCCAACAGCATCCAAAGTTTGCATATGCTCTAAGGTAGTGGTTTTACATGCATTTTTTTTCTTTCCTTTTTGAGAAAACTTTTAATTTGAGCAGATCAAAGCTTTGAAGTTACATGTATGACTTCATCTTCTCAGCTCTTCATACCCACTTAATCTACCATAGAAAAACCCTTTTATTCCTTATGCACTCCTGGAGAGGCACCAAAAATCAAACTTTCTTTTCAGTAAGATTTTTCTGTGCCTTTGAACAGGATTATCAGTACAACATGACTTTAGGCAAATATTCCTTAAAAACAAATCCCATTTTTGCAAGTTTTCTTTCTGTTCTCTGCTTCATTTCTGGCAAATTTAACAAACACTGAAAAGGAGGTATTACGCAAAGGTTAAGGAGACAACTACTAAGTTGTCGTCAAGATATGTCTGTTGTCAGAAACCCCATGGTGGGACAAAGTTTTGACAATTTTAGTAAACTCTGGTTTACAAAAACTGGGAAATAATATGGGGAAATCTTCCAAATTCAAGAATTGTATCCAAAAGCTCTATCAGGAGTAGAAGTAGTCTATAATATCTCTAAGGCAGAACAGCAGATAAAATCCATAGAAATCCTTTGGAAAAGGGAGGGCAAATGGAGTGGTGGATAGAAGTCTCATTTCTAAAAGCTTCACTGATACTGTTGACTATCCCTAACTGAGAGCCTTCCAGATGGGCCTCCCAGCACCCATGAGGGTGTCTGGAGTTGGGTGTTTGTGTGGAACAGGAGACTCCAGTTCCAGAGCTGTTTTCCTTGATCAGCCCAATTTTCCATTGTTTTTGTTCTCTCAGACTGGCCACTGTTTGAAGGATCTACCCAGAGTTTTTCTCCTATTGGTGTTAACAGTGCTTACTCTTCATGTGATTTGAGGCATCATCCATCTTCACATGGGCCTTCGAGATCTTCCTTCCGGTTGCATATACTCTGACTTTAGACTAGACCCAACTAGCGAAAGATAATAGTTAGCCACCCTCTATACAACAGTGCACTCACAGAAGGCTACCCCTGAGTCTATGCTTTTTTCTTTCCTTCAATTGTCTGCCATACTTCTCTATGATCTTCTAAGAGAAAAGTAGAATATATATTTAGTTTAAAAAAACTAGTGTGGGTTTTGACTGTTCCTGTTTATATTGTGCTAACTAAATCAAAAGACTTGTCAATCGTGATTGTAAGTTAGAATCCTAACAGACACTGTAATTGGGGACTGAACAGGTGTTGCTCTTTCAGATGAGGGAAGGCACATTAATCACCTTGGGACCCTTCCTACAGAAAGCAAGGGTCAATATTACAGAAAAGCAGTAGGAAGGAGAAGTAGTGAAGGAAAAGCAATTCTTTGCATATATATTATTTTCAATTGTATTATTTTTTTAAAAAGTTTATTTTTAATTATTATGGGTACATAGTAGTTGTATATCTTTATAGGGTACATGTGATGTTTTGATACAGGCATACAATGTGAATTAATCAAATCAGGGTAATTGGGGAATCCATCACTTCAAGCGTTTATCATTTCTTTGTGTTAGGAACATTCCAATTTCACTCTTTTGGTTATTTTAATGTATTCCCTAACTTATTGTTGATGTTAGCCACTTTGTTGTGCTATCAAATATTGTTCATTCTATCTAACTATATTTATTTATTTATCTAGAGACAAGGTCTCACTCTATTGCACAGGCTGGAGTGCAGTGGTGTCATCATAGCTCACTGCAGCCTCCAACTCTAGGGCTCAAGTGATCCTCCTGCCTCAGCTTCCAGGTAGCTGGGACTACAGACATGATCCACCATGCCCTGCTAATTTTTAAATTTTTTTTGAAGAGACAGGGTGTCACTATTGCCCAAGTTATTCTTGAACTCCTGGGCTCAAGTGATTGTCCTAGCTCAGCCTCCTAAAGTGCTAGGATTACAGGCATGAGCCACTGCGCCTGGCCCTCTAGCTATATTTTTGCACCCATTAACAATTTCCACCTTATCCTCCCCTCCCCACTACTCTTCTCAGCTTCTTGTAACCATCATTCTTCTCTCTGTCTCCATGAGATCAATCACTTTAATATTTAGCTCCCACATATGAGTGAGAACATGTAAGATTTGTCTTTCTGTGCTTGGCTCATTTCACGTAACATAATGTTCTCCAGTTCTACCCATGTTGCAAATAGCAGGATTTCATTCTTTTTTTATGGCTGTAGAAGCAAAATGATTCTAAAATTTCTTAAAAATATAGTCTAGAACCAAATGACTATTTGTAGTAGTGTCTGCCAAGACTCTTTCCTCAGTTTCTTTAAGATACTAAGATGATGACTCTTGTTGTTTATTTAGACCAAAGGGGAGGCATAAACAAGCCTAAGATACCTAGATCATAATGATATATAAGCACATACTATTGCTATTATTGTTAGAACAAATATTATTATTAAAATACATTTAGAATAACAGATAATTATCAGCTTTAAATTTGTAGTAGCAGTTAAATATCTATTTCTATAATAAAATGTCAAATATTAGCAAGATATTTTACATGAACCATTTTATATATATATATGTATATATATATATATATATATATATATATATATATATATATCACATACACACATTTTTCCTTCACTGTGATTAGCATGTTGTAAATACTTAGAGTTAAAACATGAGTAAGCCAATATTACACTTGAAGACTTACCTTGGGGGCCAGGGTCTCCTGGTGGCCCAGGCAACCCATCCTTCCCTGGTGGCCCAGGCCTCCCATGAGCTTGAGCAGCCAACATCGCTGCTGGCAGCTTGAGCTGGGATAGGAACACAGCCATCCTCTCTTCATTTAAGAAAGAAAAATAATATATTATGTAATAGGATTTTTTTTTTTAGGAAATAGTAAAATATTTATTATAGTATTACTTTATTTGTCAATTAGGGAAATGTCAGGGAGAAATATATCATCACATCAACAAAATGGTAATTACAAATTTCATGAATGTCTTGGATTTAAAATGATACCAAACCAAACAACAAAGTTGATTATTAATGGCTATGTGTCAAACTCTAGCAAAATATTTAGTGACTTGCTGTAAGATTCTATCTTTGGTCATCTAAATGTGTAACAGTTTTATCCACGACCCGATGAAGATATTAATTAATTTAGTTTAAAACATTTATTCAAAATATGTAAGTGTTGGCATTGTGATAAGTACAGTGGCGTATAGCAGTGAACAAATCAATCTTCCTGAAAAAGATCCTGTTGTCATCAAGTATACACAATGTCCAAACAGACAGATAACAAACAAGTAATCATACAAAAATTCTACACTTTAACTTCTCTCACATTTTTGTTACTGATATTACAATTTACATCTTTTATATGTAGTGCATCCATTAACAAATTATTGTAGTTGTAGTTATTTTTAATTCTTTTGTCTTTTAGATCTTGTACTAGGCTTAAAAGTCATTTATGAATGACTTTTCTAATACTGTGTCAGTATTAGAGTATTATGAATTTGACTATATTCATGCCTTTACCATGAGTTTTGTATTTTCATATATTTTAGGTCATTAAATATGAAATGTTTGATTTTGAATCAAAAGTGTAGTTTATTATATCTCAAACAAGAAGCAGTACATTTCATCAAAGAATGCGCCTAAACTATTGACACAGTTTTGCCATTTTAATGGTAGCTTGTTTATGTCAGCAGCGAAGAAGCCTGGAGAGCAAGTAGTGATGAAATAGCAAAAGGCGTTTTCCACGGCTTGTTGAGAATTGAATACTTTTCCTTGCAAGAGTGGTCCAGAGCCTAGAAGAAGTGGTAGTCAGTTGATGCAAGGTCTGGTGAATACTGTGGATGACAGAGAGTTTCCAAGTCCAGCTTCTGTAGTTTGAGCAGCTTTGTTTGTGTGACATGTAGTTGAGCATTGTCTTGTAAGGGGATTGGCCTGTCTCTGTTGACCAATCTCAGATGCTTAATCACAAGCATCCTCATCATTTCATCCAAGTGGTTGCAGTAGACATCCACTGTCATCAATTGACCAGGTTTCAGGAAGCTTTTGTGGATAGTACCAGTGCTAGACCAACAAACACACACCATTAGCTTTGTTTGGTGAATATTTACTTTTGGACTGTGGCACATTGGTGGGATAAACACAAAGTGCCAAAACAAACACTTCTGATTGCCAAAAAAGAATCCAGTGTTCATCACATGTAACAATACAGTCTAGAAACGGTTTGCCTTTATATCATGTCAGCAAAGAAAGGCAAGCTTCAAGATGATTTCTCCTCTGATACTCATTTAATTCATGCAGAACCCATCTACCCAGCTTCTTTACCTTGTCAATTTGTTTCAAATGGTCTAATATTGTTGGAATAGTAACATCAAACCTTGCTGCTAATTCACGCAGAGGTTGAGATGGATTTGCTTCCACTACAGCTTTCAGCTTGTCATTATCTACCTTGGTCTCAGGTTGCTCACATGACTCGTTTTCAAGATTAAAATCAACAGAACACCACATCTCAAACCATTGACCGAGGTACTGTACATTCATTAGCCACATCCTTCCCAAACACTTTGTTCATATTTTGAGATGTATGCACTGTATTGGTTCCACGATGGAACTCATATTTGAAAATAACATGAATTTTTGAGTTATCCATGGTTTCATAAAAATTGCTCTAAAAAATTTGAAAGATAATCATAAGCCAAAAGGTGCATTTGAAAGAATATACCTTCACAATATATATCCTCACAATTGTGAGGATATACCTTCACAATCAAAATAAAGCAAGAAGTGTCAAAATGAAATGTCAGAGATATCAACTATCAAATTTAATACTTAAGGAAATCAGATATGTCATACTTAATAACTTATATAATTAGTATCCTTTTGTTTCAACCTGAGGAAATCCTTTCAGCATTTCTTGTTAAGACAGATATTATAATGTTGAACTCCCACAGCTTTTATTTGCTTGAGAAAGTCTTTATCACTCTCTCATGTCTGAAGAACAGTCTTTCCAGGTACATAATTCTTGGTTGGCAGATTTTTTAGTCTTTTGACTATATCATTCCATTTTTCTCCTGGCCTGCAAGGTTTCTGCTAAGAAGTCTACTGTCAGTCTTTTGATAGTTCATTTTTTGTGATGAGTTGCTTTTCTCTTGCTGCTTTCAAAATTCTCACTTTGTTTTTGATTTTGAGAATTGATTATTATGTGTCTTAGTGAATATCTCTTTATATTTAATACACCTGGGGTTATTTGGGCTTCATGGATATGGATGTTCATTTCTCTCTCCATATTTGTCTGTCATTATTTCTTTAAATAAACTTTCTTCCCTTTTCTCTTTCTCTTCTGCTTTAATTTATATAACGGTCCTCATAATTTATATAATGGTCCACATGGTAGTATTCCATAAGTCATATATGTTTTCTTCACTTTTTTTCATTGTTTTTTCTTTTTGCTTCTCTGAGTAATTTCAAATGACTTATCTTTGCTCTCACTAAATCTTTCTTCTGCTTGATTGAGTCTGTTATAGAAACTCCCTATGTAGTTTTTTTATTTCCATTACTGTGCTCTTCAGCTCTAAGATTTCTGATTTTTTTTAAAGGTGTCTATATTTGGACTTATTATTTTGTTCACATATTGTTTTGCTTGTTTTGTTAGTTTTCTGTCTGTATTCTCTTGTTGTTCACTGAGCTTCTTTATTATTTTCAATTCTTTGTCAGGCAGTTTGTAGATCTTCATTTCTTTTTTTAAAAAATATTTTAGAATTATTTATTTTCCTTAATATAAAAGAAGTCAAGATTCATTTCTCATATTTCTTTTTTTAATTTCAAAATATTATGTAGGTACAAATGTTTTGGGTTACATGTATCAATTTTGTTATGCTTGAGTCAGGGTTATAAGTGTGCCCATCACCCAGATAGTGTTCATTGTACCCATTAGGTAGATTTTCACCCATCTTTTTCCCCCTATTCCCCTATGTGATTTCCACTGAGTTTTACTTCCCTCTATGCCCATGTGTGCTCATTGGTTAGTTCCAATTTAATAGTGAATACATGTGGTGTTTGTTTTTCCATTCTTTAGATACTTTACTTAGGATAATGGTCTTCAGTTCCAACCAAATTCTTGCAAAAGGCATCCCTATTCTTGGCTGAGTAGTATTCCATAATATACACATATCACATTTTGTTCATTCACTTATGAATTGATGGGCACTTGAGTTGTGCCACATCTTTGCAATTGTGAATTGTGCTAAAGACAACATTCACGTACAGGTGTCTTTTTGATAAAATTACTTCTTTTCCTTTGGATAAAAACACAGTAGTAGGATTTCTGGATCAAATGGTAGGTCTACTTTTAGTTACTTGAGGAATCTCCATACTTTTTACATAGAGGTTGTACTAATTTGCAGTCCCACCAACAGTGTATAAGCGTTCCTTTCTCCCTGCATCCATACCAGCATCTATCATTTTTTGACTTTTTAATAATGGCCATTTTGACAGGGGGAAGGTGATATGTCATTGTGGTTTAAATTTGCATTTCCCTAATGATTAGTGATGTTGAACATTTTTTCATATGGTTCTTGGACATTTGTATATCTTCTTTTGAAATGCTTCTGTTCATCTCTTATGCCCACTTTATAATGGCCTGAGTTTTTTGTAGATTCTGGTTATTAGCCCTTTATCAAATATATAGCTTGTGCATATTTTCTCCCTTGTGATGAGTTGCTTTTCTCTTGCTGCTTTCAAAATTCTCACTTTGTTTTTGATTTTGAGAATTGATTATTATGTGTCTTAGTGAATATCTCTTTATATTTAATACATCTGGGGTTATTTGGGCTTCATGGATATGGATGTTCATTTCTCTCTCCATATTTGTCTGTCATTATTTCTTTAAATAAACTTTCTGTAGTTTATTTAACTAGATTGTCTACTTTCTATTGATTATTTCTTTGGCTGTGCAGAAGCTTTTTAATCAAGTCCCATTTATTTATTTTTTATTTAATATTCATAAATTCTTTCTGTAGGCCAATATATGGAAGAGTTTTTCTAAAATTTTCTTCTAGCATTCTTTTTAAGTCTTTTATCCATCTTGAATTAATTTTTGTGAGGAGTGAGAACTCTGGATTCTGTTTCATTCTTCTGCATGTGGCTATCCATTCTCTCAGCACCATTTATCGAATAGGGCTTCTTTCCCCTGTGAATATTGTTGTCTGCTTTGTGAAATATCAGTTGGCTGTATGCAGATGGTTTTATATCTGGGTTCTCTGTTCTGTTACATTGCTACTCTCTCTTTTTGTGCCAATGCCATACTGTTTTGGTTATTATAGCCTTGCAGTATAGGTTTAAGCCTAGTAATGCAATGCCTCCCAAAACAACAAATGTTGGCATGGATGCAAGAGATAGGAACACTCATACACTGGTGGTGGGACTGTAAATTAATATAACCTCTATGGAAAGTAATATGGAGATACCTTATAAATCTAAAAGTAGAACTACCATTTAATCCAGCAATCCCACTACTGAGTATTTACCCAAATGAAAAAAAGACATTCTATAATAAAGACATCTGCACTAGAATGTTTATAGCAACACAATTCACAATTGCAAAGATGTGGAAACAACCCAAGTGCCCATCAGTACATGAGTGGATTGATAAAATGTGGTATGTATACTATGGAGTACTACTCAGCCATAAAGAACAATGGTGAACTAATGCCTCTTGTATTATCCTGGATGGAGCCCATTCTACTAAGTGAAGTATCACAAGAATAGAAAAATAAGCACCACATGAACTCACCATTAAATTGGTACTAATTGATCAACACTTAT